CATGAATGCAACCCATGTACATGCATGTGTTCATATGGCATGAATGCAACCATGCACATGAATGCAACCCATGCATTGTGTTCACATGACATGAATGCAAGCCATGCATGCAACTGTGCGCCAAAGCTGCTCCAGCCATGGCCACCGCTTTGGGCTTCCACCCACCATGGTGACTCTGCCAGGAACCCACGAGGCCTCGCGAGCCCTTTGCACCACCTGCTGGAGGACGTGGTGGTGCCGGTGGGGACGGTCCCATAGGCCGTGGTGCCGGCGGAGGGTTCACCTCCGAAAACCCGGGTTTACATATAGGGTTTATGGGGTTTTACAAAAATTGAGAGTTTTGGGTTGATACCAAATGTTTCGATATCATCCTGGCCTCGCCCACTCGCCTCCTCTTGGATGCATCTTGAAGCTCCAGCTGCAGCGACTCATTGTGCAGCTTCACCTGCTGCAGCTCATCCTCCAAGACTTTCTTCTGGAAGAGCAGCTCCTGTATGCACTCTTTCATAAAGGTGCAAGCCCCCTGGCCTCGTACTCGCACGATTCCCGAGCGACCACGATTCCACCATGGCGAAAAGACCGATCCCACTGGTCTTCGCCGTTCACCGCCACCCTCGATGCTGCACACCACTTCCACACCATCCCAACAGCCGGCAACTGACTCATCGGCGATGTGGTCGGCGACGAGGTAGGACCCGGTCTGGTTCGACCAGAACATATACCAGTGAGACCCGGGCTTCTTGAGAATCAAGCCATCATTGACCTCGACGTTCTGCAGCACCCAAGGGCCAACCAGGATGTCGAGGACATTCCTTGGCTGATGCACAGGACCATGCAACATGTCATGCCATGCCATGCATGCATGCATGCAGCCCAACTGGCTCAGCAACAAACAACAAGCAGCCCAACTGGCTCTATATATAGTACATGTGAATATGCATGGGGTGAGCACACGGTGTTCAAGAACATGCAACAAGTAGCCGAACCGGCTCCACAAGAAGTTGCCAATTGAACCACACGTGGCAAGAAGCTTGTTTTGTCCCGTCGACACGAACCCCTGCAGCCGACAGGTTCAAAGCAGGCAATCCTTGCATGCCCTGCTTTTCGGAAAACTATTTCTTCAGCTTGGCAAATTTACCAGTAGCATGATAGCCCCTCCGGCTGGAACAAGCACATGAATCACAATCCTCAGCCAAATACTCTATAAGATTAACCATGTCTGGCTCCTGCAACAACACAGCCGGAGAGGACTTCAGTGAAGACATCATGAAACATGCTTCTTTGCCATTCGGCAAAGTGACAGTTTTGATTGTGCAAGGCAAGACTGCACTAAGCTTTCTTTTCTTGCTGGCCTTCTGTGGCTCCTTGTTGTCGTCGAACAAGTCGGGTCCTGCATCCTGGGTCTGCTTGGGGCTGAACTCTTTGCAGAGCAACTCTAGCAAGGTCTTCAAGTTGGCACTGCCGGCGATGGACATGTTCTTGGTAGCCATAGATGTGCAAGGGCAAACTAGTTTGCAAATTGAACGGTGGCTGCCAATGATCTTCACGAAGTGCTGCTCGCCATCTTGCACAACCAAGTCGGACGGCAAGGTGATCACATGCCCCTTGTGTTTCACCTGAAAAATCTTCTCGATGGAGAACTCGTTGTCAGGCGACTCAGCATCCGACATGGTGCTCTCACAAATCAAGCTTTACTATCTGGCTACTGTCAGCAGAAGATGCTTCATGCAAATTGCAATCAATGCTGGCATGCCATGCTATATGATGTGCACGTGCAATCCATGTCTGCATCCACACAAGTCGCTAAGCAGCCTTCAAACTTTTGTCAAGCATTCTGAAATGCATAGCTCAATCCATGGAGCAAAATTTGCAGTTCAATCCTGCAACCACATGGTGCTTCTATATACAGCTTATAGCTGGTGCCTGTGCATGTTCCTAGCTTGCTTTCCTCTTCTTGGGAGCAGCCTTGGAGGCTTCCTTAGCAAGCAAAGCTTCAGCTGCATGCAACAGGAGTTCCCCCTTTCTGATAGATCTCGAATTGGTGTAGCAAGGGATTGCCAGACCCCCATGCTTAGCATTGGTCAGCTGCATGTTAACGGCCTCAGCATCCATCGATGGCTTCACGTACCAGAACGGTACGAGCACCGACGTAGCAGTGACATTATCCATATCACCGACAGCCTTTGGCGGGCTCAAAGCATATCCCGAGACCTTGTGGCCAGGCTTGCCATCATCTCGTTTCAAATCACCATAAGCGATGAGTTTGAGCTTGCCCTTCGGGATGTTAATCGTGGCACAAAGGCCCGTGGGCGGGCTCACGAAGCTGAAGCCATCGACCTCCGGGAGATTCACGAACGTCTCGTAGAGCAGGATCTGCATTCGCTGCATGTCAATGGCCTCACCAGCAGCCGAGTTGTTCTCCACGAGGTACTTCGACCAAGCCGCCTGGTCCACTACCTGCACAATCGCCTTCTTCGTTTTCTTCCACTGCTTCAGGTCATCGGACAGTGCAATGGCCACTGTCCATGCATCTTGCATTAGGGGCCGATGTTCAAACCTGCACAAACAACATGCAACATCATGTGCATGCTTTCATGCAGTATGCAAGCAGTCCATGCTCAAGCATGCAGTACATCATGCAATTCAAGTTCAAATCAACTACCAAGCTACTTCGCCGACGTGTCGTTCAGCTCCAACAGCTGAAACACCTGGGATCCGTAGTCGCTGTGCTGATATAGGCCTCCGACCTCCAAATGTGGATGCTGCATCATAGCAACGGTTGATGGGCTAGCCTCCAGCAGGTTCGCTACCTTCGAGGGGCTTGCGGTCGGAGCTGCACTGGAACTCGTGCCCTTAGGACCCAAGAGCTCGGTGGCGAGTGCCTGGTTGATCTCCTCCAAGCTATTCCATTCTTTGTTCTCTCGGCCGAACTTTGCTTCTGGCTGAGGTATAGCACTGTTCGCACACAACAGCGCCCGAAAACGGTGTATCGCTCACCATCCTTCAAGGGTGCATTCTGTGTGGCAACCCATGCATCCTTCAGAAGCCTCTCTGCTTCAAGAAGCTCGGGTTTTGATTTGGATTTGATGCGGTCCAAATCAGCTTTGACCAGTAGCTTCGCAAACTGGTCTTGGACTTTGGGTGAGGCCAGCTGTGCAGCCATGCAAGCCACTCTGAAGCATGGGGCCAGGTTGGCCTCAAGCTTAAAGTCAAAATATGTGATCAACTGAGTGAACTCTTGTCCGAGGCGAATGCTCTGGCCGTAAAGCTTGCCTCGCAAGTTCCATGCTGTGCAAACCTATATGCATGCATGCAATCTGCATGTATCGAAAAGTCATATAAACTATATATGGCAAGACAAGCAACTAAAGGACACAAGGAAATCAACCAAAGGCATCTCGTCGCCCCCCGTGTACTTCTGAGCAAAGAATGCCACCGTCTCCAAGTACTCTTTGCAAGCCGGTTCCCCTTGCATCGTCGCTGCAGTGGCTTCTGCAACCGTCTTGCCCAACTTCAAGCAATTGCTGATCGTGGCAAGGCACTCGATCTCTGTCGAAGCCACACACACCGAGTTGTTGCTATTGAGCACAGACGAGTACAGCAACGGGAGACTCGGGAATTGGTCTTCCAAGGTATCAGCAAGAATCAGCCAAGTCCATCCTTGGCTCAGGCACCTTTCGACGGGCTGACCCTTTTTCATGAACGAAGAAGCATTCTTCACAAGGCCCTGCTTCATGGATTTCAAATAGCACGTGGAGTGAGATGAGCCAACCGTGAGAAACAATTCGTCGCCAACCACTTCGGGCATCACCCCTTTGGCTTGGGAACAGCATTTCCGATTTGCTGCAAGTTGCTTGTCACGTTTCACTGCATTGCTGGACATGCAGAATGCTACTGCACTTGTTTCGAGCAAATCAATCCGCAGGCCTTGGCTCATCATCGTCTCCCCCTTTGTCACCATATCAAAGCTATTCATCATGGCACCTCCCCGATTTTGGGGATGTATGCAAAACCTCTCTGGTCCATGGACTTGCTTGGAGGCGAGCCCGTTGCTCAGCCACAAATCATTAAGCTCCAACACCTTGAGGTTCACTGCCGCATCCGATGCCATCATACGGTCAGCTTCTGCAATGACTGCCGGGGTCAATGCCATGGTAGGCCGCAAGTGTATATACGGCTTGCTATCTGAACTGCTTTCCAACCAAACACTGCATGCACCATTCATATCTAAGCAGCACATCATATATGCATGCAGCCCGTGGACTCCATGCATGCAGCCAACATAGCTCTCATGCAGATGCAAGACATGCAGCCCACATGGGCTCGAACATCAATCTTATGTATAGCCTTGCAAGCTAAAAGAACAATCAAGCAATCATGCAGCCAACATGGCTCTCATGTACATGCAAGTCGTGCAGCCCGCATGGGCTCGAATATCAATCTCATGTAGCCCATGTAGGCTAAAGAACAATCAAGCAACCATGCAGCCCAAATGGCCCGCATGTATCATGCCAACCATGCAGCCCACAGGCTACAAAGCAAAGATGCAAGCAACCGAAACATACCATGTCATGCAACATGCAGCCAGATGTCGGCTAATGCAACCGCACAATATGCAACCGTGACCCCACAAATCTATCAGTTCACACAGGAAAAAAAGGGAACAGCAAGGAAATAATTGCAATTCCTGAAACCACAAAACAACAAAAACAAAGCAGCAAGATAGTGTTTTCCGATATAGGTTTTCCAAGTTAAAGGGGTTAGGAAAATTACAATAACCGTTTATGTAAATAGATAGTCAGAGTTGCAATTATTGAAAATTTAAACATAATTAGCGACTTTGCTAGAACCCCTGAGGGGGATACGTTTTTTGTTAGCACTTAAGTATGTGTTATATGCACATTGGATATGGGATACATGTGGTTTAGTAAGCCATGCAACCATTAAGCAACACCCCAAACATTCAAGTACAGATGCGGCGTCGCTCTGCTTCGTAACGCCTCCATGGCGCTGCCCGCATTCTGAACTGCATCGTCAACCTTGGAGGACCACTCAACGTGCAAGGGTATGGCGAGAGCAGTGGAGAAACTTGCCACCCCAACCGCATAAAACGAAACCTGACTTTCTAGTGTCTTGTTTCACAGATCCATATCGTTCCGGGGGTTGAGGGATGCGTCCATGAGATTTCGACTTCTCTCCATGCAGCCCCAGAGTGGCCAAGATGAATTAACAGAACGCCGAGGATGCCAACTTCCAGACCAAGTGCCGGAGCCTCTCCGGGTTCCGAAACTCTCGGCCACAGAGCGACAACAAAAACAGCTTCGATGGAAAGCGGTTTCAGTGCTGGGCTTCCGTTCCTGACACTGCGTAACTGTTGCCTCCAGTCGTTCATGGAAGGCGCTCCAAAGAGGCCTGGTGTGCTGTCACGTCCTTCCCCGCGAAAAGCCCTCCGTCATGGCTCTCTCCCGGGCTTCTCACTTTTGTTTGTGTGTGTGTGTGTCTGTCTCCTTCTCGTACCGATTGCTGGATGGTGAACACGCCGATTTGCGCGAAGAGCAGGATCCGATTCTCCTCCATCTCAGCGGCTTGGCCTGGAACCCTGGGCTTCCTCGGCTGATGTTGTCCAACGCATCCGCTTGCGGAGCACCAAAAGGAGAGCCGCAAAGCCACTCTCCCACTCTCCTTCTCTGTTTTTCAAGCAGAGACATACTTTTTAATCGAGGGCTGGCAAAGGGAATGCAGTGGAGCTCAAAGGCGCCCCCAAGCAAAGCGATCTCCGCAACTGAAGGGCTGAAGGGCTGAAGGGTGAAGCATCAAGAATATCTTTGCAAGCATCTTTCGCCATCACTCGAGTTGGCCGATCTTATCACCCCTTGGCATAACTATCTGAAAATGTAACCCAGTTCGTCTGAGAAGCCCTCGCATCACATGCTACTGCTACAACGGATCACGTTCTGTGAGTGTCCAGCTGCTCCCATGAGCACGTGGAAGAAGAGGGTCACGGTTTTTAGATCCGTATGACCCACCTGTGCATGCTGGATCCCTTGATATCAGCTTCACTCCCCCAACAACTGAGCAGGCCTTGTTTGGATCTAAGTGTCTCCACAAGGCTGCTTGAAGCCTGGCAGACTCCAGGTCATCTGCTGCTACCTGTCCAGGGAAGAGTGCGCAGACACGCGATTGGAATGAGCTAGCAGCTAGCACTGTCCGGCGGACTTTTCCACGTGCCGGACAAATGCGAATGCACGCTGCGACGATGGTCTATGGAACAAAGTATATGCCGCTGCACTCAATCCCCGTCGGGGCATGCTCACTTCTGGTTCACACTGGGTGGAGACGGCAATAAAGAGTGCCACATGAGAACTGAGTGCCAGTGGTGTGGTGAGTCGATGCACGCAGGCCGAGTGAGAGAACTGGTTCTGTCCTGGCCTGACACCCTCGAAAATTCGTGATGATCTCGAGAACATGCACAACCTGCGAATAGAACCTTCTGACTCGGTCTCGAGATCAGCACATGCCTCAAGCTTGTGATGGGGCCGACTATGCATCAATTGCTGCCTCTGCTGCGCTAACACACAACTTTTAAAAGCAATGCCGGACCGTCACCGCCACTCTCCAACAGGGGGCAACTCTCGCCTCTCCTTCAGAGGATTGTGTCAAACGATGCCTGCCCGGCCAGTGGCCACCCACGAGACTCGCCCATCAGATGACGTTCCGACGTTCAAGTTTAAATGATAACAGTTTTAAATTCAGACGATCCTCTTGAGGAGACTATACTCCTCATTTTGATCCATGTACAGTGTACAATGAAGCTCTATGTCACATCTCCTCACCAATGTCCGGAGCTTAACATTTCGCCCGATCAGTTTAAACCTGCGCATTCATGATGAAGATTGATAAGCACAGTGCTGATCGCGGTCCTCTTTCAAGATATGGTGCTGAGACTAGACTAGATACACTCTGTCGGGCAAAGCCGATCAAAAGCCAAGACGCGAGCACAGCTGGCTTTGAGGCTCGGACGGCAGCTAAGTTCTCCGGATTTTTTGCGCAGTCAGCCACAATCGCTCGTAGCTGGGCTCCTGCAAATCACCGGATACTGACATTGAAAACAGGCTTCAAAAACTGCTCGACCGGCATTACATGCCCAGTGAGCCAAACCAACACACATGTATTTAGATTGGGCCGGGGACACAGGCTACCCGGCCGCCTGCTTGACGATCCCACTGAAGATGCACACGTGCACAGGCCACAGCGAAGCCACAACTTGGCTCGAAGAGGTAGCAGGTACACTAGATTCTGCAAATTCGCCCTATTGCGGCCGAGGGGGCTCACACTAAGTGTTTTTCGACCTGTGGTGTGCAACCGATCCCGGGCTTTGCGCGTGAGTGCAGCTGGCATCTAGCAGACCACGTCCCTCCAAAACTTACGAGGGAAACCGGGTGTGCGACCTTCTCGCCGACCAAGGGTGCCACGGCCATCTTGCTGTTGCCCATAACGAGCTTGCCTCTTTGTAAAACAGCGAAAGCGATGCATTCCACAGCCGGAAGTGCATGTCCTTCAGCAGCCGCTTGGTTGATCATCTTCATCAACTGATCACCTGGTTCCGTTTTCCTCCTGTTGGTTCTAGGGTTCTGGAGGGCAAGAAGACCTGCTGGGGCAATGGCCGGAAACCTTTTCCTCCTCCATCAAAGTTCTGGCCAGCGTGTCCAGGAGGTACATGTTGTCCTGGAAGGCCCCTCTGATAGCTCAAGAACGGCAGAAGAGTCTCTGCTAGTTGAGCTACCCTCAGCAGCTTCATGCCGCGCTGGTACTGCTCGTCCACGATGCGCTTCACTTCCGCATCCACCCTTTGCTTCAGAGCCTCGAATCTCAGGCCCGGGAGGCCCGGGCCGGGAGTGCCACCATGGCATAGAAGGGAAAGCGAGAAGAGCCGTGACTCGCCGTTCTTTACCGTCGAGAGTCTTGGGATATTGGCGGTGCACCGCCGCCCATAAAATCACCTCGGTCGATGCAATCGCTCCCTTCAATCAGGTCCACGGCATTGCATCATGCAATGCAAAGATCTGCAGACGAGCTGCGCCCCATGAACGGCCCACCCTGCTGCTGTCCTCCCAGGAGGCGCTGGCCAATCTCTGGCGACATTCCAAGCTGCATCACCATCGTCTTGGCCACCTGCAAAGGAGCCGATGAACAGACAAGACCCACGATGTGATTCGTTTAGCTTCCACTGTGGCCTGCGTGCACTGCTGGAAGTCGTTGGAGGCACCTGCGAACATCAGTGTGGCAGCATCCGGCATGCCACAATGAAGTAAGAGCCATTTCCTGATGGTGCCAGCCTGTGGTGACATTGTCTCTACCATTGATGATCTCCTCTGCGAGGCGACCACCCAGTGCCACACACATTCGATTCTCCAAGAACTCCTTGGAGTAGAGGCCTTCCAGGTGTGGAACCGAACTCTCACCGTCACCTGCAATACGATCCGGCACCTGAGTTCAAGCGATCCTCAGATGGCATGAAGATGGTGACCCCACCAGCTGGCCCGCGTGGGACGATGCTGATCTTTGCCACAACGTCGTAGTCGTTCCTGGCACTTCCAGACCACAAAGAAATAACTTGGCAGCTGCTTTGCTTGAGAGACAACTCCCATTCCAGCCAAGGTCTCATCAAGGCACCCAAGATGGCATGGCCGGCTTCGTGGTAAGCAACCAACTTCTTCTTCTGCTCGGACATGACAGCATCCTTGAGTCCAGCACTGGGAAGTGCACTTCTGGTGCACTGGACATCGCTGCCTTTTTCTCGAGGCCAATGGAGATGCGTTCCAGAGCATTGAAGATATCGTCAGAGTCAATCTCCTTTGGCAATTCACAGACGAGGGATGCTCAGATCGTGAGCGTGAGGCTGGCAAGGCTCGGCTTTGTTTGATCTGGCTGCCTGGATGGCACCTGATCGGACCAACGCAGGAGCTCGAGATGAAACGCGGGCGGCGGGCAGTTGTCATGGCAGGTGCCTTCGTTCAAGAGATTCGCAAGGTCGGCACCCGACATTCCAGGTGTCTGCCGCGCTATCGCAGACAGGTCAACACCAGGTGCCAGGTTTTTGTCCTTCGCAGGTGTGGGTACACTGTTATGCCAAGACATACTGTCCCTGGAATTAGCAGCTCCGTGTCGAGACTCCTTGGCATGGACTTTGAGGATCTCGGTGCGCCCTTGCACGTCCGGAGGATCCACCTGAACAAGCTCCCTGACCCACGAGTAAAGAATGTCCCGGCTGCTTTTAACATCTCTGTGACGCCGACGTCTGGAGGCCTGGATTTGACGATCGAAACGTCCAGGTCGCACCAAAGCTTGGTCCAGGATGTCAGCCCTGTTCGTTGCCGCGATGACAACGACTCCCTTGTTGCTCTCGAAGCCTTGGCGAGTGCGACTCCGAGGACAGAAGTCAGAAAGGGCCCCAGAAGACAAGTCTCGAGCTTACGCCGCTTACGCCGCCTACGCTGCTCCCAAGTAAAGGAGCCGTCCATCTCGGTCAGCAACTGATTCACCGTCTGCTCGCGCTCATCGTTGCCTGCAGCGCTTTCGGCAACAATGAAATCTGGACACACGAACCGCTCGTGTCCATCGCCTTGGCCGAAGCCAGCACTTCGCTGCCGGCCCACGGCATCGATTTCGTCAATGAAAATGATGCATGGAGCAGACTTCTTGGCCTGCAGGCTTGAAGCACACTGTGATGACGGATGTGTCAAAGGAGATTCGCTTTATCTTTGTCATCCGACCTGTTCGAAGAGGTCGCGCACTCTGGACGCACCAATGCCCGCAAAGATCTCCACGAATTCCGAGGCTGAAATGCTAAAGAACGGCACACCAGCCTGAGTGCTCAGCACGCTCCATATTCGAATCGTGACAAAGAACACTACTGGCAGTCTTCCAGCCTCTCCCGCCACGGCCTTTGCAAGCAGCGTCTTCCCGGTGCCAGGTGGACCCACCAGCAAAGCACCTTTCGGGATCTTGGCGCCCAGCTCAGAATACCTGCAGAGCGCTTGATCGACTCGCACACGCCGCTTCCAGTCGAGGTGCCTTGAAGTGTTTTTCAGGAAGTCCACGACCTCTACCAACTCCTGCTTTGCACCATCGCAGCCTGAGTAGCAGATCTTCGATCAACCCTGCACGACACGCAGAGTTGTGGGCCTGCAACATCGCCGAACTTAACTTTGGTGTCACCATCCTCCAAGGTTCCAAGCTGCTCGAAGCTGGAGACGAATCCCGACATGCCGCTGACACGTCCTTGATGATGCGAGCTTTGGACTTTCCAAGCTCGAAGGGGTTGCCTCCGGGGCCTCCAGGCCCCGCAGGACCTGTGCTGAGATGTGACAATGAGAATGAGCCCACTGCCCACTGCCACCGTCGGGAAGCCCTGCCTCCAAATGGCAAGCCTCCGAACAAAAGAAGCAGGCCGGCAATTAGCCAGGCAATGGGACCCGCAAACCGTGCGAGGAAATCCAACGGAGAACCGCCGGCGTTAGCATTTTGCATGACCTCACGAAATTCGAAGTCGCAGTTTCAAGGAGTGACATCGGGGACTTGAGTGCCGAGTGCCGAGGCACTACGTCGACCTTCCTTTCTGCCAATGTATTGAAGAGCTCATCCTCGATCTGAGCATTGGGAATCAGGTTGACATCCCGTCTCGCGCCATCCTGAGAAGGCAGAAACAGAACAAAGGCAAGAAATGGCAAGAATCACCTTGAGATGACTTTCGACTTCGGGGTCCTTCGTCGTGTACTGTGCTGAGAGCATGTCGTTCTGCACGCGCACCATTTCCACATTTCCCTTCTTGACCGACTCCAGGAACTCCGAGTAGTTCACGACGTCCGCTGCATTCGCCGGCCTCGTTTGCTTGTGAAGGCGCCAGGAGGACAGCCAAGTCAGTCTGTGGCGAGGGGCTGCAAGGTGACCGTGTAGGTCAGCAGAAGAGATGCAGCTGCACTGGCTGCCCAGCGAAGCTGCCCATCGGGACTCGAACATGAGGCCTCCTCACAGAGACTATGAAGGACGAGGCAGGCAATGTCGAGCGTATCTCGCCTCGGCCCCTGCTACAACCTCTGCGAAGGCACCGGACACCGAAGCTGACAGCGTCATGGAACGGCGGAGCTCAGCTGCAGCGAAAAGGTGGAGCTCTTCCACCAGGTGCTGCAGCTGATCTGCGGCAAGCGCGACCAAGACTATGTCCAAGCGTCAGCACAAACGTCTCCAGCAATCATCCGCCTGGCATTGGTCTCTGCAGAAGCGCATGCGCCATAGAGATCAGATGGGAGAAGCGCGTGGGAAATTCCTGGCCCAGGGAAATCTCCGGATTTGCACTGGCATGCGACAAAGTTAGTGTCTTCTATTCCTCGTGCTTCTGCTGCTTCGATTTGCAGCTCCGGGGCATGGCACCCCGGGAAGTGGCTTTTTTCCTGCCTGGGGCGGTCGAGTTAATCGACAGTTCAAACCAATAGAAGTCAATGCACCGACTCGCATGCGCAATCAGCTCAGTCACTAGAGCCGACAGCGGTAACTGCTCCAGCCATTGCAGCAGCAGTGGCACTGGCTGTGCCAACAGCTGCGAAAGTTTCAGTGCTGCTCGTGGCGCTGACAGCTTGGGAATGGCGCACCTGCTCACTGGACTGGAACTGCCAAAAAGTCAAGAAATGCCCCTCAAGCGGCAAAGCACCATGGATAAGTCTCCTGCCGCTGCTTGTCGCGGGACCTGTTGAGGGGCCAGGAAGGCAGGGGCCAGAAGAAGAGCTGCCGCCGCGCCTCCAATGCTAGCAGCCAGCACGATGGCTACTGCACTGTCTCAAGCTTATCTGTGCTGCCGAAGCAGAGCCTGCCGCTATGGCAGGAGCCCGGTTCTTGGTGGATGCTATTTTGCTGATCACCTGACGGCTAGGCACGAAATTAGGGCACGGCAGCCAGCAGCAGCGCTTGTAAGATGCTGACAGCCATGGCAAACTCCAATGGATCGGAAGCCACACCAAAGGGCAGAGTGGAACAACCCTGCAGCCAAGCTTGAGCCCGGGCCCAACCTTCGACGAGTTGCTTGACCCGGCTGTACGTAGATCGCGTCACCGCCACGTCCATACTTATAGCATCCTGTAACAACCCCGACTACAACAACGACCACACTGAAGAACCGGAAGAAGACAACAAAGACAATGATTTTCACCACAAACAAGCAGTCCTGGGGTGCATTCACAGCGATGTCAAGGCTACATTAGCAAGAGCAATGGCACGAAATAAAGATGGTGTGGATTTCAGAAGGATCGTCAGGCAAGAAGAGGCCTCTCCGTTCTTCCTCGGCCTCATGCATTTGAAGCGCACCAAGAAGTCCTTTCCGAGGAGATTTGCAGCAAAGTTACAGGTGTAGACAATTCTCAGGTTTGACACACTTGCATGACTCTTCAGCAGATCCTCCAAAGATGCCTGGGCAAGCTGTGCTTGCCCGTTGGCTGCTCCATCGAAGGCTGCCTGTTAACAGCTTGTTCAAGCTTAGACAGCACATCGGAATTGAAGTCTTCGCCACCTTGATTTGCTTCTCGATGAGCTGATAGTACAACCTGCTCGACTTGTAGAGCACCTCAATGGATGGCACATCTGAACTTTTCTGAACGTGTTCATGCAGCTTAAGTTATGTACAAAATGTCAATAGTCTTGTTGCTTTCACTGTTCAGGCAAGAAGCGGACGCATGCATCTAGGAAAAGAGGAGGACATGGCAATGATGTCATGCGGCATGTGATGCAACATTGACATCCCAATCATCGCAGAGCAAACCGCGGCGGTACACGTGCGAATCCATGTGGTGCATACTGCTGTGTGCGCATGTGTGCGTGGGTGAGCGAGCGTCTGCATTCCACGTGTTCCCATGCAAAATACAGCGTGCTGTGTTTTTGCAGCCTGTACACCATGTCATGCAAGCTTTACGCAATTTGCTGATGGCTTCGTTTTGGGAGGGGCAAGGCGACGCTGTGTCCGGGAAGTTGCAGGAGGGCCTGCATTGGAAAAAGACACGTCACGTCGCAACTAGTTTCCATCTGTGTTTTTTCCAGGTTATGCCAGAATTTGTGCCACACCGTTCCAGGAGAGGGCAAGGCGACACTGGTCCACTGGTTCCAGGAAGGCGCAGGTTGAGCATGCCACTCTGGTTGGCCACAGTCATCAAGCACCGGGCTGGGGGTTCATTGCTGTCACATGCGGAGGGGCCAGAATTGCTTCAGAAAAACACAGGTCGGCCACAAAATTTGGACGGGCCCACACAGTTCTCTTCGAACATACGAACTTGGGGTCCCTGGGGCAGCATGCTTTTGGTTCGCATCCGCACCCGGCCGCCAGCAGCCATCCTTCAACAGAACACCACAAGGAGACCACCAGGGAAGCACAGAGACACAGACAACATGCAATCAGATCAGCGTGTAGCCCAGCCGTAGTTCAGGCCAATGCAGAAAAAAGGTCCAGCTGGATCCAGTTTCCATGGCATAGCCAGCATATCCTAGACGATGTGATCTACAGATGCCCATGAAAGGAACCGCAGTCTCTGTCCCAGCCAACATCGAGCCCTGCAGCCAGCATCAGCAGCAGCAGAGGAAGCTCGTTTCTCCTACCGAAACCATGCCGAAAGAAGTTCCCTACTCCCCCCATAGAATCCCAGGCTCATGTTGTGAGGAATTAAACGAATGTTTTTTCGATGAGCTTTCGAGACCACCAAGAGACCACTAAGAGAAGACCAGGAGACCACCAAGAAACAACGTGTGTTGCTGTCGACGATCTACGGGCAAACTCTGGAAGCCTTGAATTCGTACGGAGCAGTGTGTGCTCCTCTGGCTTGCGAAGACAGAACGATCGAATGACGCGCACCCGGCTGAGGCCTTCCTGTGATAAAACAATCATAAAGGGTGAGCGGTGAAGGGAGCTTAGCGTTCAATTCAGCGTGGAAACCACCGGGACGACTCCGGAGCTAGATCTGCGAAAACTCGTTTATTCGCTCCGTTTCCAGTTTCTTGTGGAAGGGTAGGGGCTTACACCGGCAGCACCGCGGCATTGGCTTAGATACTTCAAGTCGACTTGGGGCGGTACCGCACAGCGTTCCTTTGTTTCCTCTTCGCGCCGCAGCTGCATTTGCTCCTGCAGCAACTTCCGCTGCTCAGAGTTCATAAGCTGAGATCAATCTTGAGGCACCGATCGGAATTCGGTCCGTCATGATGCGAAGCCTCTCGCGGCGGTCGAGAGCATCGCTGTAGAGAAGCTCGGAAGTGGGAATCCTGCTGGCTAAACCGCATCACTACACTACATGCAATCGCCAGAGTCAGAGGTCACCTTCGGCGAAGTGGACATCATGAGCTTGGGACGATGCAGGCCGAACGTCAGAAAGCTGTAGCTGCTGTAGCTAAAACAGACGGATGCAGCAAAAACACAAGGCTTCATACGCCTATCGCCTTGCCTTCGTGGAGGCGAGTTGCGGTTGCTGATGGGCGGAGCTGGAGAAAGGCATTCGGCCTCCCGGCGCAGTATCGAAGACCACATGTAGCTAGCTAGCTAGCTGCCAGCTAGCTTGCATGAATGTGCTTCGAAATCTGCCGTTTGATTCGTTTGTTTCATCCCGGCCTGGTCGGACTCTCGCTCTCTTTTGGCAGCTGTTTGCTTCTCCTCCTTGTGTCATGGTGGTCGCCGGCGACTGGGTTGTAACAGTCTCAGCCACTGTGCAACTCTAACAGAATCAAGATGATGAACTGAACTGAGACCCTATCCTCTAAACGTACACAGACCCAGCACCCTGAAGCCAGAGTGGACAAACGGCCTGTTGCAAAGCTGCTTGGTAGAGACGTTCGAACACACTGTTCGTGCTCGGGCTTTCTCGAACGGCCTTCCAGGTAGAAGCACTCGTTGGGCAATCATATCCAAATCTCCAGGTGAACTCGCACTTGCTGGCATGCATTGGCCTCCGCCTGCTTTTGACTCCACGCCTACAGCACTCATCATGCGAGGAGTTCATGAAAAACTGCTGCCACCCTCCCCAGCCTGGGCAAAAGGGCTGATCTTTGGCTTCAAAGTGAGTTCTGCATAGTGCTGCGCCTCGATGCTCGAAACACAAGCACTCATCCAAAATGTTCAACATCTTTCCATCCACTGCGGATGCATCTTGCCTCCACTTGCTTTAAACGTTGATCTCTCTTTCGCTGATCCAAACCTCTAGGGCGATGCTCCACACAAGATCGTGGCAAAATCCAACGTCTGAAGCCATATCTCGGAAACTCAGTCAATCACGCTGCTCCCATTTTACTTCGCCTGGTGGCACAATGAGCGGTCGACTACGAGTGCTCTCGTGTTGGAGTATGCCCTTAAGAAGCTTCACAGATGTGATTATACGCATGTGAATATTGCGGGATTTTCGCTTGAGTTCTACAGGTGTCGAACTTCTATTAGACAAAACCCACAGATTGAATCGTCACAACAATCAAATGATGTCTCTCACCGCAGTCCTATCCAGTTTCTCACCTTCTAAGTTTTGCAGACACGACAGCAAAACTTGCCTCTCGCCTCTGACGCAGTTCCCTCAATTCCCGAAGCACATTTCCCACAAACCTGTTCTCGACACTTGTCTCCGAATAAAGGCGAAATATTATCTTGGAGGATCAGGCACAATCTAATGATTAACCCCACAGTTTACAACATCATTGCTGTCATTCCCGCTGAGTCTTGCCAGGCAAAAGCATGCCCTGTTGTTGAAACTGTACCCCCTGATCTCCCACAACCCTGTCTGACAAGGTGCGATCACATCTCAGTTCTGTGCGTCTCACCCATCTCACCCACCGAGTTTTGAATGTCTGACAAAACACAAACATGTCGCCGACCCTCCCGCTCAACTGATCATGGAGTGAACGACTCTCCCACTGCCAAAAGATGGAACAAAAATCCGCAGATGTCCGAGACGGCAAAATGCCTTTCATTGTCTAAGTCTTGCCTGCACGTAATCTCAAAATTCAGATCATAGCTGCCATTGTCTGGTTACAACGAAGCACTCTGATTGCCTGAAACCGCAGAAACACATCTCGTCGGCGCTTACCTCCTGCTTCTAGGGCTGAAAAGCGTCGCGCCATTTACTCGGAAAACATACGCTCAAATGCAAAAGTAGTTGTGCGTGCACTGTTCACAGAAGGCAGAAGGTAGAGAAAGAAGGATGCCATGATGAATAGTGGAACAAACGAAGGGGAGCTCCGATTCTGGCATATGGGTATGGTACGAATGTCGGAGTGAGAGCAAGGAGCTGCTTATTGAAGAGATATGCCCATCAGATGCGAAGCGTTGCTCTTGATGCTGCGAAGGTTGTAGCATGAGATGTTGCATGTTCAGGGCTTGTCACGCGATCGAGCCCTTCCACATGTTGTCGTTCTTGATGCTCCTCATGTCCACCCGTCCTTCCTGCCTTCCTTGTTGTCCGTCTTTCCGACTCTGACATTAACTGCCGATCAGTTAGAGCAAGAAGTTCACACACTGCATGGCGCACATTCAAGACCTGCCTGTTGTGTCCGGGCGGGAAAACGTCCTTGGGCTTCCTCGTGACAACGTCTTGGGCTGGAAGGTGCACTCCTGTCCCAGATGCCAAAACACAAGCCTGAGCGCTGAAGATCAAGGCTGTGACCCAGGCACCTCTGCCTCTTTTTTTCGCAGCTCGTCCAGGAGCTGGTTGCGCCTCTACAAAATGGGAAGCGATGGCGCCCCATCGCGACTCCCAGGCAAAACCGAGCTGAGCCACTTCTGTGAGGAACGTTGAACCATCACATTGTGGTGCTCTGCCAACTTGCTGTCCTCATCATACAGATTGGCATTGCGCGGATGAAGATATGAGCGAGATCGAACTTGAAAGCTCCTTTGACCACTGCGCCCACATCCGCTGAGATGCTTCACCTTACCAGGCATGACAGCGGCAACTTATGAAGATGAGACGAGGCAAAGGCCAAGACTCACCGCCAGGCTTTCTCGCAAGACCTTCCACGACTACCCCACCAAACACCATAACAACAAACAAAGAGCAAGAACTTCAGGAAAGAAGGGACATGCCTCGTCGCGGTACAAGTCGTAAGTCTCCTCCTGCGGAGGAGCCTAAGTCGGCGATATATCAAGCAAGGCACATGCTGCCATGCTGCTATGCCAAGTATGCCCATTCAAGAAGGCGCACGAACATGTCGGTGGGTGCTGGCACCAGATGCGGTGCTGTACAGCTTTCGACTGTTTCACAGTGATCCGGTGGTTATCGATGTTCGATGGTGTTGTATCATGTTGAAAAGCTGGTGTGTCCTAACGTCAGAGTGTTCGTTCGCTGACCAAGACGGGAAGTTCGCACACCTCTATTTAAGACATATCCTTGCCGTGCCATCAGGACGCTCTTTTTGATGCCTCGCAATCCCCCCGTGCTTCTACTCCGATAATGATGTGAACTCAGTCTTGGCGGATGCTCAGCAATCAAGTAGTCGGAAGATGTAGCAAGCATGCTGTAATGCTGTGAAGGAGCTGCCAAACACCGCCTCGACTCTATTCAGGTGCAGTTTCCTCTTGCCTGGCTCGGTGCTGAATGTAGGCTGTGAAGGTCAAGGAGTCTTTGGACGGCGCCTTCACCAACGGGAAAAAGCGGGAAAAGCATGTGAGTGATGCGAGTGAGCACTGCACAGCCCATGCCTTGGCCGGATCATCTGCGAGAAGTACCGAGTTCGTGATGAACTCACAATACTGCGGATCCTTCGTGTATACCTTCCAAAGCCCAAGGATAGCTAAAGAGCCCGGAACCAAGGCTTCAGGTGCGCGGCCTCCGAGAACGAGGAACCCTTGTACCTGGCAGCCAACGAGGCTTCCAAAAACTGAGTATTTTCGGACTTCCAGAAACTTTCGAGCATCAGCGCACTTGCCGAAGTTGACAAGCCAACTGCCATCTGCTAATGTCCCCCTGCAAACTTGCGGCACGTGCAGAAAGAAGCAGCCAGGTTGCAGCATGAACAGTCCTGCCAGAGTTTGGCGTGAGGTTGGCGGTGCTAGCCGGGGAAGCTCTGGCACTCGCCTGCACGCCGGGCTGTTGAGCAACCTGTGGCTCGGTCGCTTCGTGCCATTCTTGCCGAGGAGCTGTTCGAGCCCAAGTCTTGCGCTGTGGATTCGAAGCTGCCGCGATGGTCTTTCCTGCAATGGATAGACATGCTTGTGCGAGCCATTTCTGGGACTATGCTTTGCATTCATTGAATTATCAGCTCCTTCCAGGTAGTCGGCAAAAGCGCGCATGCCTCCTCCGGCCTCGCCAGAGATCTCCAAGAAACCATGGCAACGGCGACAGTCCCGCCTTGTCCCCTTGTGCAGCAGTCTGCTGCACCCAGAGGCAATACCTTGAGGCGCTTCGGGCCAAGATACTCAGAAAAGTCTGGAAACTGGGGTGAGCACGCAGGCTGCTTTGAAAGCAGCTCTGCATAGGTCAGGTCTTTGTGCCTGACATCGCGTTCCAGGCAGACTTCAGCTTTTCGTGGTTTTCGCTGTGCATTGCAAAGATGCAGAGCCACATTAATAGAGCACGGCAGGAAATCGTAACAATGTCGGGAAAGCTTGCCAAAGCCGACTTTGTTTTGATCTCGCGGGTCTGGTGCCTCAGGCTCACCTATCCTGCGACTCAAATAATCTGAGTTGGTGTCTGAGTGCAGGACGTGGTCTGACTCCGTCACGCCTGAAAGGGGAAGTTGCCAGAACAGGCACGTCAAATCATGTCGGGATGTTATCCCCATATCATGCGTGCACACGACCACGAATCAAGCGATCCGCCGAAGTCTTAAGTTGGAGCTGAAAACGCTTTGTAAACGTTGTTCACCATGATTTCAGATCTTGAGTTTTAACTGGGCGGTGGAGAAAGAACTTCGGTCGAGCTTTGGGTTTGCGGATAAGCACCACAAAGGAGCATCACCGAAGTCCGGAGGCAACTTATCAGACCTGCTCGGCACAAGACAAGCCTAGGCAGCAACTGAGAAAGAGGAGACCCGGCATCTGGCCCTCACGAGGTTTTCACATCTATCACAATCGCTTTCGCATCGTGCTTTGTGTCCCAATTTGTTGCATTTGTGCTTGCGCTACAGCACTATTTCGGGGCCACGTAGCTCAGAAGAAAAGCCCATCTTCTCCGGTGTGAGAATGTTGCGCACTTCTGCCGGCTGCAGTCTTAGAGCTTCAGAGGACGACGAAAGCCAAGGGACAAGATGCTTCCAGCGAAGCTGGAGGGTAGACAGTAAAGTAGTAACGTGTGCAGTCCTGTCCACAAGCATTGCTCATGAAGAATTGAAATGCAAAAATGGGCCTGCAAGATGTTGTTGTATAGATTCCGCAGTTGAGATGTTGGGGCCAGTCGGCAAGAAGCACCGCGCTTTGAAAAGCTGTTTTGCATCCGCCTGGTCTGATCGGTCGTGAACGGTTCACGCGATCCTAGACAAAACTTGCCCGTGCCCACAACACTGCTGAGACCCTCGTCCACCAGCGGAAATCGTGGAAAGCGTGTCTTCTTGCCTGACCCTGCGGGCTGAGGATCTGCTGGAGCTTCCTGCCAACGAACAGGTGTGCCACTATCAGCAGTTGCCGAAGACAGTGTTGCAAACGCCTGTTCACAGAAAAGCCTTTCACATCCAGAACCAGCCTAGCCAGTCGCATCTACACCCAGTTTCACCGAAGAGTGGGGAGACTTGTATAGCCACAGCATTCGATTCATCAGCGTGTGTGTGCCACCTCACACCTCGGAGGTCAACACTCCAGTAGCGCCATCCGTGCAAAAAGGTAAAGGTCGGCAGAACTAGGCACAGTTGCAACAGCAACAACGGTCTTTGGATCATTTTAAGTTTTTTCCCTCCCTCCTCACCTTATATAACTAACTGATAAGGACCTTAACGTGTTGTTGCCCCAGTTACCTACTACTAGAAATGAATTGGTAAACGGCAACTCCCGCAAGCTCCGCGGAGCTGGCTTTCCTGAGATCGAGCCTGATACCGGGCAGGAACTCTGTGCAAACGGAGCAGTGCTTTTGCGTGTCTTCGGATTCAAACGGCCCGGAATCGAACTTGCAAAATTCTTCATCTTTCCAGAAACCACATCGCCAATTGTCGCAATGATTGAGGTTTAACGCATTCCCCTGTGCTACTGCAGCCCTGAAACCCAAACTTAATGATCACGGAGTTTGCACTGGTTTGTCAAGAATAGACTACCGTGCCATTTTAGATCGCAGTGTGGACACTGCCTGTTGCGTTATGCATATCAGCGACCGTGCTCAGCTTGGGCTCGGCTTCTTAAGCGAACTACAGCTCCGCTGAGTACTGTTGCTTCGCCTGTCGAACCAGTTCAGCTTGTCTGTAGCGGGAAAAGCAACTGCATGACGACCAAGACGACGTCTGCACTTGATCATCACAGCGATGACAGGACGATCTTCTAGGATGCGTCGCTAGCGCTGATTACAGCATTCACACGCAGCGCCAACACGGGTATGGGTATTCTCTTGACACTAGAACACGCCCGTCGCGTGAGCACTTGTGCCAAGCCAGAGAATATAGAGCGTCAGGGACAGGGAGGCACCATCAGACCTGCGTGCGTTTGCGCAAGAAGTTCAGAAAGTCGCCGTACTCGGCCGTGCTCAGCTTGTCGCCACGAGCCAACACCCAGGAGCAGTAACTGGCAGCAAAGAGCGAAGCATGCGAAGAGATTCAACTTCACGCTGATCGACTAAGGTTGGCAGGGTCGAGATGTACTTTTTTGGAAATCTCCGCATGCCCTCCTTCCCTACCCTACCTTGTCTCTACACTAGAGCCGCTGACTTCAAACCGCATATGCCTGGGATGCTGCGCCAAGCATTCTTCGAAGGTGAGGTCCTTGCATTTGCCGGACTGCATACGACGGCTGTCACCTGTCGACATCGGCAGGTTCCTGGACCCACGGCACCAACAATCCAAGAGGAGGCCTCGCTGCGCCTGCGCAGCTACAGCACGCAAGTAGCGCCGGCCTGACCGAATCCTAACTTCCCAAGCTCGCAAGCATGACAGCATGACCGTCCGTCCTAGACCATCATCCACCAAATAATTCATTGCCCGAGATGCTCATTCAAAAATGCTGTTCGTACCAAAACCCTCCGAGACGTCCACTCACGGAGGCACCGTACCATTCGCGGGTGCTCGACAGAGCTTACGGTTGGGCCCTCAAGTGCCGCGGCTGTCCGAGTACTTCAGGCGTGAGCTCCGGCCACGGCTGCTACGAGTCGGCAAGATCTGATCCATCATGTCGCCAATTCGCTAATTTCTCGTATTTTTGCGCATGCAGCTTTCAATGCTTTTGTTGCCTTCTTAACGAGTCTGCCACTACAGCACTCCATGCAGATCGTCGAAACGAACATCTGATCAATCTGATCAGTGCGATCCTTGCAACCCTCCGGCTGCCTGAAAAAAAAACCTATAGCGCCGGAAAAACTGACCTGCGAACTTCTGCGGCGCCTGCAGCATGTGCATGCCGCAGCCGCAGCATTGCTGCACTTCTGCCGGTACCAGCTTGTGCAAGAGACGCTGCGGCATGATTGTCAACCGAGAAGGGCTCACAGCTGCACAAATCAACGAGGGAAGCTCCTAAGCGAGCCGCCTCTTTAAGCGTTAGTCAGATCACAGCTCCCACGTTCAACAGTTTAAGGTGACGACATCTGGCTCGGCAGTCACCTGGTTCATCACGCCGTGACACAATGCAAGAAGGGAAACCGGGTCATCGGCACGGCTACGCTGTCGGCATACACCTACTTGCTCAAAAGCTTCGGTGCTAAGGGAGCAGCAGGCTGCTCTGGACCAGGCGTGGAGAGCAAGGAGCTACTGTCGTTAGGATCTGGGCAGATGGTAACCTCGGCAATATCGAACTCTCCGACTGCTCTGTGGTGCGAGGCTTCTTGCAGCAACTCCAAGGTTTGGCCAGGCGGCATGGTACTCCAGCTGCGACTCGTACACAAATTCCTCAGTCCGACTGTTTCCCAGCCGCTGCATGGCCCCCAATGCCCTCAGATCCGGACCGCGCAGATTGCACACTTGTACAGGGGACCTTTGCCCTGACATGAACGGTCAAAACAGTCGGTGAGAAGGGAGAATTCATTCAGATGCTCGGCTTGCTGTCATCAAAGAAACAACATGCACTTCTTATTCTTGGGCCCGACCTCTGGCACTGCCGAAACATTCCCGGTCCTTCCGAAAAACATCAAACGACCATCGATCGTGGGACACATGTCGCATGACCACAGCCATGTTTCCCACATTAGTAACTTGGCCTCACTGATGAGGAGCTGCCAAGAGCTTCACCCAGCCCTGTCGAACACTCTGCAAGTGCAAACGCATGGAAGCGCCGAAGAAGAGTCCCTGCATGACATGTGGTCCCAGACACCTTCGTCTCTAACCTCTAATCCTGGGCAAAGCTAGGGCTCGGAGCCTTCTCCAGGCTGGTTTTCCGCTCCAGCTGAGACCTTTGTGGCGAGTTTCCAAAGCTCAGAGGGTGAGCCAACGTTGTGCTAAGCTTGCGTAAAAACATAAATTGGCACGATGGTACGACAGTCGGCTTGAAAACATTCCTTGCGGATCTCGGCCTGTGTCCCAACCGCCGCACTCTCTAGTTCAGGCGTCAGTTCCAGAACAACCTCGGAAAGTTTTGTCTGGCACGCGACTCTGGTCCTTGACAAGATGCCTGTGCATCAACATGCCGTGGGCTGCTATAAGGTTCCGGCTGTCCTCGGAGTTTGATCCACGCCTGGCACCTGCAAGGTAACGTGACCAGACTTCCCCTGCCAGTTTGCTTCAAAGACAGATAGATTTATGAAGCTTACCGAACTGCCTCACATGGGGCAGCTGCCATGCTGATGTCACCCTATCGTAAGCAGTTCTTGCTACGTGTTGGGTGTGGTAGGAGTGGGTGTTGTGTTGCGAGGCTAACTCTCAAGTGCAATCCCCCACTCACGACAGTTCTGGTGAGGATCTGTCCAAGGTTTGGGCTGAGTCGGGGTTGGGAACCGCGAAGCTTAGGGCAGGGCCAGATGCTGAATGCTGGCTTCAGGCTAGCGATTCTTAAACGCCTCGTGAGCATAAAAAGGCAGCGACTTCCATGATACGGCCAAGAATAGGAATATCCTAAACAACCTCGCACGCCCAAGCTTCCGCACCGAAGCGACGTTGCTTTTTCGGCTGCGGCGACGTCGAGTGGGGGCAAGTGCTGCAAGACGGCTGCAGCATTACCTAGAACACCGTGAAACTGCGGCAATGTACAAGAAAACAGCACCAACGACAGATGTGGAAGATATGTCCACCGGGGCCTCCTCGCATGGCACTACCTTCTGGACCGTGAGACATCACTCTTCTTCCTCTTGCTTGCCCAACAAGAACCTTTTCCGGACCTGACGGGAGAGGGTGGGCAGGCCGTACACGCTGTCTGTAAAGGCTTCTTCTGAGGCATGGACGTATTCCTCATGAAATTGCTTTCTGCGATCATAAAACCTGCATGCTGATCCAATAGATGCTACACAAGAGAGAAGCAGGACCGGACCAGTTCAACAAAAGGTCGAGGCCCTGCCGCTCCTTTGAATTCCCCTGGCTACCTACTCCTGGCGAATGGACTTCTCAGATCCCGCAATCAGGCACTGATACCGTGCTCGCGTGGTGTCGCCCAGCAGTGGTGAATGTCCTACTGGAGCAACCATGTAACATGGCGGCCAAGATCCGAGAAATCATGTCTCACAACACCCGCTTGGACAGCAATGGTGTGTGCTGCTACCGGTCACAGATACGAGGTACTTGTAGCCTTCCCTCAAGGAAACGAAAACAAGGCTTTCAAGTCGTGCTAAGAGATGGCAAGCAAATCAAGGCAAGGTTGCGGTTCGCGCGCTTGTGTTGGCTACTGTCAGTGTATTCTACCGCTTCTGTCCTGAAGTGTAGCATCGAAAATCCTCAAAGTGTCCCGAGCATTGGCTCGGCGATGCTCGGGGACATGTTCGTTCAATTGCCTATGCCATCCTGCGAATACTCAGGCAGATGCTCAAGCTGCAAAGGATCTCGCTGCCTCGGCGGCAAAGCAATTGTAGCTAGACTTCCAACCACAGTAAACGACGGCTTGCGTGCCATGCCAAGACCCAAACAAACCGAAGAGGCGCTCGTCAATGCGGGCAAACTTGGCAGCATGTTCCTCGTTTAACCTGAGAGCGGAGCTTCAACATTTAATCTCGGAGTGCAAGCACAAGGAAAGTCTGGACACGTCTTAACTGCACACAGCCATGGCTTGTAGCACTGGGACCGACCACCTGCCCTTGTCTTGAAGACGCCGTCGCCCAAGCGCATAGAAAACCTCGGTCAAGAACATCCCGAACTGCCTCCCTCGAAAAAGGAAAACAGAGTGCAGGTTCCCTACTCTCATCTGGTCGTGCGCAGCATTGATCCTTGCATCAGTGGTCTTTCTGTGAGATACTGAAGGCAGCGTTCAATTTGCTGCTTGGAGATGAGTCTCTGCTGGAGCATCTGCACTCGCTTCCGTCTGGCCTCGTCAAGTCTACAAATTGCCTGGCACTGGACCGATGTCGGTGCTGCCAAGGTCGCAGCCCTGCGGAATCGTCTCTCCCAGAAACCCTCTGCGCCTGAGAGGGGAGGTCACTGTCGCAGGGTGGTTCTTGCATGACAAGAGGACTGCATTTCTGAGGCCAGTACCGGAAGAGTCATGGAACAGGACAGTTTGAGCCTGCTGAATCAGTTTGCAGTCTTTTGGCAGACGGGATTTCCTAGGTTCAAGAAGGATAGGAGGAAAGCCACACGGTGACCTCTTCAGACATTCACGGAAAATGAAGCTTTCTCTTGTTCCTACCCGCCTTTGCACAAGGCGCTTCTACCCCGCCAGCCCTCTGATGCACTGTACTATGCCCTACCCGTGCCACCTTACACCATTTTGAACCTTGGTGCTGAAAGTGCTGCATCACACTACTCGACGCTTCTAGGACATAAAGAGCTCTCATGAACCTCGGCTTGCACAGGCAGATAGCCACCGGACATTCTCGATCATCCACCGAGTTTGAAGTTCTGTAGTTTTGGTACATCGCCCCGCTCCCTAGGCTCGAATGCGTGAGCCTGGCATGAAGTAGACAGTGGGTGGGAACGCAGAGATCTGAAAATGGCAGGGCGGAGGGCAGAATATCGGAGCGCAGCTGACATCTCTGCTTCGCTTCTAGATCCGCACACCACTCGCTCGCCACGACAGCCTCGGAATTGTCCGAGCTGAAAAGGCGGAAGCTCATGTTCCGCGTAGGAGTGTCCAGCCTGGCGTGATCCCACAAGGCAGACCGTGGGAATGCCTGCGCAGCAAAATCCGGCTGTACCTCTGTGGACAGCAGCATCTTCCTCCACGAATGATCATGGCTCCACGGTCGAATCAAGCATTGAACCCTCAAGTTCCAGCTCTTGACTTATGACTTATGAACGAATCAGCCCTCCTGCCAACTAGCTGAAAGTGTGAAATTGACAAGGGTGTGCAATGAAGAGCTTTAGGCATGTACGTTCGACGCAAACCGAACGTTCAACCGCAGTGCCTGAACAAACGATGTGAAACGCAGAGCTACACTACTCTTGGTCCACGCCTCTTTCTCGCGCTGCAGCACAAGCTGTAGCTGCTCAAGATGAATGCAATCGTCAGAGATGCCGAACAAGGTCAGATCTCTTCTATGTGCAAATGTACTGCCTGCCCTGCAGCACAGGCTGCATAGGGCGATGACACTAGTACACATTGCTAAGGGGTTGGTAAATCTGCCCTTAGCATCATGCCTCGTCCATGTGGCCAGATGTACTTCTCGCCGGACACTCACGTTTGCACACTGCTACATCAGAATCAGAACGTGTATCATGACTTTGTTACACTCTTTTGGTGCGATTTGTCTTCTATTGTTGTCTGGCCGATGGACTGCCATGCCTGCAAATTTGTGAACAAAAACTGTTGACAGGCATTGCCCGTCTGCAAGAGAAGAATCGAAATTACAAGACGAGACAGTAAGCTAGACTCCATCTAGCTGTCTCATCTGGTGCAAAGTCCAGCTCACGCTGGATACTCGTTTGTAAGATAGCCTGAGCGTGACCCCGACTGCGACAAAGCCACACGACTACACTGTCGTAAGCGACCAGCTGTTGACGGCGGTAGCAGCATCCCGTCCTTCCTGAGAAACAAGAAGCCCCCACAGCGAAGTGAAGGCCACTCTTCGATCGCCTTGATCGCCCAGACCACCAGGGATTGCCCACGTCGGCAATCGCCTGCTGCGAAGACCTCAATTAGCTACAGGCGAAAATCCAGCGGCACTGCCGTCCACAATGAGCACCGAGCTTTCGGATTTGATGTCTGGAAGTCGCCTTCGCTCTTCTGATACAGGGCCTGCGACTTGCGTGCCAAAGCAATGTCAGGCAACGACCGCATCCAAACTTTTCTCAATGCTGCTAACGCGAGCCTTGTAGTTGCCACGCTCATCCATGTCAACGCCAAAGGCAGCAGCTAAGGGATTCTCGGGCCCTGGACACAAAATGCCACACATGTACGAGGAGGTACAGGGAGCCACTTGCAGAATCCAAGAGGAGAGCTGCCAGGCCTAGGAAGCCCAGCGCGAGGAGAATCAAATCTGCTTCGATGATCTTCTCAGACCCGGGTTGCTCCATCATCCCTCAGTTGGTCGCAAGACTTTTCTGGACATCGTCATCTGGCTTACCACGAACATGATTTCTTTCGAATCGGCAAAGCCACGCATCTGGCCGTCGATTTTCTCCCATCGAACGTTTACCATTTTGATGCCCTTCACATTACCCTGACCATCGTCTAGGAACTCCTGGGCTGCTGGCGCCGATTGAGGTTCATGAACTCAGATGTATGCTGCAAAAACTGCCACATGTCGCAGTCCTTCGTCAGAGCGCCATAATGTCCTCAGTTTGCATCATTGTAGACCATGGCCGGAATGCCTCACAAAGCAGCCCAGTGGCGGATATCCTGGTCTTTGTTCAACTGATTCGCAGCCTCGAGAAGCCAATCCGAGTTTTGCTGCATACTCGTCAGTCGGCTCTCCAGAAATCGCCAACACGTGGCTGGGAAACACTCACCCTGCTGCTGCGCAGTTCTCAGCATCCAAAACGGTAAAACCCGACTGCCACGATGCTGACTCGAGGTCAGACAATGACAAATGAACGGTGTGCAGGTGCCGGCAGTCGTGAGTGGCCTCCTCGTGACCGTAGTCCACCTGCAGACCGGCAATCTTAGACTACGAAGCTTTCGATTCGTTGGCTTGTCCATGTAGCAGATGCCTTGAACACCATCGGCCAATGTGGCCAGGGATTGTGCGGAGCACGCTGCTTGGGTGGCCTCCCCATCAGTTCCAGGTTCACGACCTTATGCTTGGCACGTCTCTCAGGGTCTCAGCAAAACCACAAAAAGCAATGCACGTGAAGCAGATGGGAAAGCGACGATTAAGCCCCGCGCTGCCTTGGCACCCTGGCGCACGGCTGTGCCGATACAATCATTGCCCGTATCACCACCTCAGTGTGCGAAAGCACCCGCACAATCAGTGTTTCACGGCAGGTCCATATGCAAACACTTATCGACAAACCTCCGGTTTGCTCAAAGTTGTGAAATCTGGCCTCCGATGACAATCACTTTCTTGTCCTTGGCATCCAATGTCTTCGGATCCATGCCTCGATTGGCTTCCGATACGGAACGAATCTCTACAAGAATTTCGAGGAACGTCAGGAAACGACATACAGCACTGCCATCCAATCACTTGCAATTCCGGTTGCCGTTCTTCTTTGCTCCCCACCACCGTCGCCACTTGTTGCTGACATCACCGCCATCCAACAAGGCCTGCACATCATGCATCCCGGAGAGGTGTGCCTGATCCTCTGCAGATGGCCTTGGTGTTGTGGGTCAGGTAGTCCATTGCCAAATGAATGCCGCTGAGGTCACGTCCGGGCACCTGTCAGCAGTTTGCCGGTTTGCCGGACCGGTGTTGAATGTGTCGGTCAGAGACAATCAATCGCAAAACTCCCCACCATTCAAGTCATCCAAGCAGCTGATTGCATGTCTCGGGCGACAGTGGCACCGACAGCCAGCAATACGGCATCATACTCCTCCAGCTCAGAAGAGAGCGGCATCCAAATCTACATGCAACACACGACCAATTGGACCCGACAGCCCACACATGGCATTCACCAAGGTTTAGCAGTGTAAACCTTGCATTCCGTTTACAGGAGAGAGCTCTTCGGCAACATGGAGGGATGAGGCTGCGTGCAGTTGTGCAAGCGACGAGACGTCCGGGTGAAGTTCTAGACTCGATGCAGCGGCGCCGAAACACATCGTCATGCAAAACCACAGCGTCGTACCGCCGGATGATGCCAGGAACGTTACCGAGTGTGCCGGGTGCTTGGTCGGCCACTGCTGTGTGCGTTAAGCGTGTCAAGGCCCGACTCCGCCTGCTTCCACCACCCTCACTATGACGTCGGATGTGGTCGTCGCGAAGTGGTGGGTGGGTACGTTGTGTGTCGGTACCGTGGCGTTGTGGTAGGGCCTCATGTCTTCGCCATGTCGCTCTTGATGTTCGACGCCGCCGCGAAGTGCTGCCCCGGCAACGGCGGTACCAATCTTTCCGCGCCTGGCATGTTCCTGGGGCGGCGCCGTGGGGTTTCCGCTGCCGCAGGGGGACCTGACCCGGCACTTGGTCGGGCGACGACTTCGCGAGGATGGCCCTGTCCGCCTCAGCGAGCGCGGAACGATTTCACGCGGGGCATTGTTCGCTCCACTCCGGCATACCAAAGGCCGATTTGGTTGGCATAAAACTTCAAGAGAGTGACACCCCGCAGACCCTCAACGCAGTGCTGCAGCATCGTGTTTCTCGAAATGCAGCATGATCTGGCTCCAGGCAGGCGGCGCACTGGCGGCGCACAGAGGTCTCAGCAATTAGCTGCGTGCACCAACGGTGCGACGACTGCGGCCCGAAACCGTAAGATCGCACCTGGAGAGGCAAGCACCGAACCCTGCCAAACCCCAGCTTGCCGCGGCTGCGGAACCGGTCGCAACTGTCATTATGTGCACAAGTTCGGCAATCTGCGGACTGAAACATCTTTCTGGGGCCGGCACAGAGGAACCGATGGAGCAACGGAAGGGAGGGTTGGGACTGCTGCTGAGAAAGATCCGCGCGCAGACCGTCACAGGAGTTGAATTGCTTGTAGGCGGGCCCGAGAGAACGAACGGCTGAAAGGAGCTTTCGACCAAACCGAAATCATCACATGGCATCGGCAGCCGACGGCTTTGGCGACAGCTGTGCGCGCCATGGAATCAAAACGCTAGCGAAGCCGTACTGCCAGCTAGTCGCCGACCTATGAGAGCTTACCGGCCGACCTTCAGCGCGATGCAGATCAATTGCACGTGCTACACAGTTAAGCAAGTTACTTTTTTCAGAAGTGTAGCCTGTGAATCAGTGTCCTCCATCAGCTGCGAGGCTCTTGGCCCCATGTTTGTACCCTCGATGTGCGCCTGCTACAGCACTGAGCGCAATGCATCAGAGGAGCAAATGAACCTACCGCTTTTTGTAGCTGCGGCCTCCATGCTCTCTGCGACACGCCCAGCAGGACCAGTCACGAAAGTTATTCCCTCTCGCTTCATAATATCCACTCCTGGCAAGAGACTTGGTTTGGCTCGCAGTCCTGCAGCTGCGTGTGGCTAGCAATTCTCGACTGAGCTCGCCACTTCGCTGGACTACGTCCATCTTGTCAGTCTTCATGTTGGGCACGCCATACATCATGAGTCCTGGAATGCAACTTGCATGGACAATCCCAAGCAACATAGCAACATGTGCCACTTGGATACAATGGACCTCCAATGCGATCTGCTCGCTCCAGGACGGTGACCCGATGCCCCATCTTGTTGAGCTGATCAGCTGCAGCCAGGCCACCTCAGCCACACAGCCAGGGCGCACAGCTCAGTACAGCGACAAAGGCGGAACAGGTCTGCTCGGCCGCTGGCAAGGCCCAGAGCCCACGATGACAATCCTGAGGCACGGCAGAGTCTCGGTGCTCCGAAACAGATCGACCGACCACCGCGTGCTATCGGGCCTTTTGTCTGTTCGCATCTTGGGCGGGCTCGGCACCATCCAGCCCATCTCGTAAGCCTTGTCAATGATGGACAGCTCCACGGATTTGATCGCCACCTGCTTCTGCATCAAGAACGGCCAGGGGGAAGCAGCGCCCGACACACCAAGACACATGAAGTCACATGACCACTGAGCGCATCGCTGGATCATCAATGATACCCAGTGTGCAGGCACCTCCGCTCGGGTTGTGATCGGCGGCGTGGGGACCACTTTGACCACACTCAAAGTACCAAAGCGCCTTCGCAAGGTGCGGGGCAGACCCGGCCGGTGAATTCCGGGAAGTTGTTGGTGGCCATCAGCCGCTTGAAGGCGTCGAACCAGGCACCCTTTCGGACCAGGTCGTTCCATTCCTCACATCGTGGGCGCACGGACCCGTATCTGCTATCTCCTCCTCGTTCTCCTAGAGCCTTCCTCCTCCATCTATCTCATCTGCATCCGTTTGGTTCCTCCGACACCTCCTGAAGCACATCGTCGAGCTGCTGCTGCTGTTGCTGCCTGCATCCGTGCGTGTGTCGTTGCCTGCATCCCACGCAATCTTGCATCATCATCATCATCATCACCATCATCAACATTCTCAACATCACCATCAGCAGCACCAGCAGCAGCAGCAGCATGATCATCGTCATCATGATCATACCAACGTCACCATCACCATCTTCTTCATCATCATGAGCCTCCCTCTAGTCTAGCCATGGCTGATCTTCATGAGCCTCATGATCAGTGTGAGGGGCTTCATTGGAGCAGGCGGCCGAGTAGCCGGGATGAGATTGCCCAGCGGGCATCCGGACTTGTCCGTTACAGACTGGTGGCAGAAGGGCGTGCCACAGTCCATGCAGCGGGAAGCCTGGGTCTGAACGGCCACCTGCCAAAGCGGTCAATTTTGCAGACTACAAGCAGTGCCGTCAATTCGCTGTCGCCGCTGTCGCCTCGTCTTTCTTTGCCAGGATTTCTTTGAAGTCAGAAACACGTTCCTCAACTCCTGCAAACAGTCCGAGTGCACGGGTGCACAGGGTGCACGTCAGAACACAGAAGTCCTCGCTTCGGAAGGTCGCCACGATCCACCTCCAGGAAGCCTGAGCCAGAAGATGCTGCGAGGGGCCAAGAGCAGTGGTAAAACATCCTCGTTCGGATACTAGGCTGCCTCGATTGGAAGTTGCCACCAGCTTGGCATCCTCGATCCTTACAGATTTGAGCGCTTGAAGAATGTGTTCCCGCATTTCTGGCACTGTGTGAATTCGTGTCAACTGTTGATGATGTGGACGGGCGTCTTCTGTGGACGGTTTCCCTTCGTCGTCTTCTGGAATAGAGCCACGTCTTCAATGTCCATGCCTGAACAGTACATTGCTGTCGTCCTCCTATACGATGCATGCAAGAAGATTGAAGACCTCGGACTTCATCGGTCGAGCTACTGACGGGAACCGAGTCATCCTCGAAGGAACTTCGCCTGACCTGGCACAAGAAGCGGCTGAGGAGTTCAAGTCTCAGAAGAAAACTTTCCCCGCCTTTGGCTGCTTGCGAATGCGCTGCTTGCTCGAATGGTCATTGAGGGCCTCCTGCGAGGGGAGGTACTCGCGCATCGAGCCTGGAGTGTCAAGGGCGTGAAAGGCTGTCTGCATCTCTGCCATGCAGGCCTATCGGCGTGTGCTCGCCCCGATCAATGGCTGCCTGGACTGCGGCTTTGAAGTCCTGCCGAAAGCTCGGGAATCCTGTCGACTCTCGTTCTTCTCCTACCTTCGACCTGTCCTTGGGGAAGACCCGCACAAACTCGGACATGCATGCAGGCCAGCGTTTTAGAATTTCGTCAGCTTGTTTGCCTCAGCTCGGCTTTCGACACCAGCAATCTGTTCACTGCCTTGCATCCTGGCACCATGTTTGAAAGACAACGAATTATCGAGATTCTTCTCATAGTTTATGACGAAGCACCTTACTCTGTCGTTCTTGCAGGGGTCAACAATGCTTCCAGCTGTGTTTTCACCAGCTAACGACATTAGCAAGGCTTGGCGTGCCGGTGGCACTGCCTCCGACGAGGCTGCACCGTCCATCTGGACCCCTCTTCACAGTACATGAAACTTCTTGATTCCCAGACTGCTGGCCACAAGAACAGATAAGTTCGACTCGCACCAACTGAAACACCATGTCGAGCTAGCATGTATCCCCTGCAAGAAGCACTGACTATCAGCTACGAGAGAGAATGTGCATCATATTACCAGTATGATGCACTAGACATGTTTGCAGCTTAGTCAGCTTGGTGGCTGTTGGTCCAGCTCTTGTGGGCGTTCAAGAGCGCCTTCAAGTCCTGGGGGCCAACAGAAAAAACAGAACCGACGAAACCCGCGATTTCTGAGCTTCCAAGAGCCAAGGCCAGCACTACGTTTAGTCATACCGTCTGAGTCAGCCGAGCCCGAACCGCCATGCAGACAACAGAAATTGGTTTCTCTTGACGTTGGGGCAAAGCCCCAGCCCTGGACAAATTCTGCTGCAGTGCGTCCTTCTCTTCGTGTGGGTAGGCCTCGGGGTTGGTGTCCGCAGCGAGACGTCCGATCTCCAGGTCCTGGCGCTGACTGGGAGCCCCTTTGTCTTGCAAAAAAGGCCTTTCCTCGAAGGTGCTTGTAAACCTCTCCTCTCATCCTTATGCATCCTTATGCTGCGGCTCCTGTGGTATGGATCGGCTCTCGAAGGTCTGGGACGGGTCCCAGATCCAGGTGATCCCTCCGCTCATGCCTAAGAGGCCGGCAGAAGCGCAGCTAACCGAACCTTGAGCCTCACGTCCCGCAACGTCCCGCACCGGCTCCGAAGTTGTCCCCAACAGGTCCAAGTACAAGGACGCGTCCGCCTGGCACTGATAGCTGCACCACGTCTAATACTGAGTGGGAAACTTGCTTCTCGAGTGTGGCATGCCGCTGCATGCCTGTCATGTACTCGCAGCAGTGGTCACCGGCACCCTCCACGACAGCCCAAACGCCGGAGTTGCGCACCTGGACATTGAAGTAAAGAGTCCAGCAGGAACCACCACCGAATACCGCCCCAGCGCCGGACAACAGCACAGATGGAAAGACCATACTGCTGCTGAATGCATGAAGCACTGCATCGTTCGATGCAAGAATTTCAGTCTGCGATTGACTTCAGTAAAGGTGATCGCTGCCCGATAGTGCGGCTGTGACACTGCAAACCGCTCTGCTGCGATGCCGTTCACGAAGCACACACCCGATGTTGCTCCATACAGGGCCTCTGCACATGAGAGCCGCAGGACACCCCGTTGCTTCGCTCTTGGGGGACTTCGCTCGTATCAAGACTCAACACATGAAAAGATAAATGGTAAACCGATTTGAGCAACATCTGCCCAATCGATTTCGTCAGATTGTGCATCTCTCACAACAGCAAGCTCCTGCAACTGACACAAGACTCAACACATGAACAGAAGACGAGGAGCTGTGTTGCCGATGATGATGTTCTTTGCGGCTTCGAAGCCTTGCTCTACCGCCTCATCAGCAATCGTCTTGACTTTCGGACAACATCCGTGCCGCTGGACACAGTACGATGCAGACGTCTTCAAGCAGATCGGATCAAGACCCAAAGGCAACACCCATTGCCCCGCAGATCGCGTCAGGCGCCTTTTTTGGTGGGTACACGACGAGAGCACCTCCACTCAAGCCCTTGCCGAAGTAGTCCTGCACAGTGAAAGAAGCTGTCATGTCTGTGTGTGTAGTCCAGTACATGGCGACGGACGAGCCTGCCTGCGAGTCACCCTCTAACTCGAGCAGCACACCCTTGACAGAAAAGGCGCCGAATGACTGGCCCGACGTGCCAAACAGCTTCCTAAGCAGGATTCCCGTTCTTCAGTTTGGACCACATGGACTCTTATGCTCATGCAAGCTTCATGTGGCACGTTCCAGGAGGAAGGCTGCTGCCCCACCGCTTGAAGATCCTGGCACACGTGCTTAAGTCGCAGAATTAAGGTTCGGCTACAATCTGCTCACACACCCGAGAAGAGATGGGAAGCACTGCCAGCCGAGGCGCTCGTGGGACAACAAGGTCCCGCAAGTGCGATCCGCATTGTTCAAGTGATTGTACTGAACGTAGGAGCGCTCGCCGTAGCGGAAAGTCATTTTGCAGTCCTTTGTGCTCGTGGCATGTGGTGACCCGGTATCTTCAAAGAAATTCAAGACAGGCTGTTGCAGGTTGATGTTCCGCCATGTCCCGTCCTCCACCAACGTTCTGTCAATCATCCGCTGCAGAACCATGAAGTGCTCCTGCCCATAGAGCTTGCGATTCTCGATGTTGCCTCATGGAACATGCGACTCACACACATGCAAGCCAACTTTCAAAAGCAACTTCAGCAGAAAACCATCGGACTCATACCAATGCTGCCAATGCTCGATTGAAATTTCATTTGTCCATGTGTGGTGTGTTTTGTTCTGATCACCTGCAGTTTTGCTCCGGGAAATACGTCTCTGTGACGCGCTGTTTCGTTGCTGTGACTCGATACTTGGGGCTCTGCAATGTGTGATTGCTTGCAATGGCTTCGTTGAAGCAGGCCTTCGTGCTGCCTCCGCCCAAATGTTGCCCGAAGTAAAGAAAAATGCTCCGGTCCGGTTCTCTGCATGGTGTTCATCGCAATTTTGCTTAGCTTAGTTTGGCCAGAGGTGCCCATTTTGCCCGCGTCAGGGAGCTGATGCGCCGCTGCCAAGATCGGATCCAAAAGGAGTGGCCCGGTGCGGACAGCCGGGTCGGTCCGCAAGACCTGCAATCGCATGCGGAAAAGCTGCCCTGGTCTCTCACGTAATACAGGACCATGTCGCCTCGGCATGACCGATGAGCTCATCCATGTTTCTGAAACCCATCTTTGCCATGAGCACGCGCACCTGATATGTCTTGGACTCCACATCTTGTAAAATGGCAACTCTATTTCTCGCTCTCACTCACTCTCACTCTCACTCTCACTCTCACTCTCACTCTCACTCTTTCTTTCTTTCTGCCGGGCTTAGGGGTCACTGTCGTGACCCTCAGGCTTTCAGCCCGCCCGTCCACCCACTGTTTTGGGAGTGGACGGCATTGGGGTCCCACTGACCGCTGCACTTTCACTCTCTCTCTCTCTCTCTCTCTCTCTCTCTCTCTCTCTCTCTCTTCTTCCCTCGTTTTTACAGTAGCACAAGATGAGTTTATCAGCTGCCAGCCAAAGGTCATAGAATGCCTATATAAGGTTAGCAATCAAAGAGTTTGGGAAAACTTCTGCCACTGTCTGGGTGGCAGGAAAACAGGAGTGGATCCAAAAGGCTCAGCAAGTGCGGACAATCATGCACCCTTTTCGGGTGGCAATTGCCGCACTAGGGTAAGTTTTCCAGCCCTCGTCCCAGCAGAAACGTAAAATGATCTAATGCGACTAGGGGATTCGTCACTGCTCATTAGAGTCTTAGCACAGGAGAAAGGGCAACACAAATCTATGTTGAGAGTGATCTCGGTCTCTCGGGAACGGCTTGGAATGCAAGGCAAACAGCAGACGACAGCTACATCCAAGCGGATCCATGTCGATGGCCAACCCCGCAGAGACTAACAAAATGCACCTAATGCAGATATGATCTTCCAGAGTTGTAACGGAAGCCCCATGTACTCCAACATGCAGAGCAACTCTGCCACATACCAGAAAGGCAACATGTGCAGCAACACTGTTCTTGTCATGGTCAGTTTGAGGCCCTGCAGGTTGCTGATGGCTCGTGACAAGCCAGGGACATATCGAGACGCAAGGGGTCAGTAGAGCGTCGACACAGACTTGGCCGATAGAGTCAAGGAAGAAAAGAGCACCCCCATAACTGCAGTGAATCCGAGAATATGCATAGCAGAGGAGTAGACGGCACAGCGACCTCGAATAACCAGCCTGCAGGGAATGAGGTAGTCCTTGACACGGTAGATGTTGTTAATCATGCGAAGGATAATGGCAATGAAATTCTTAATAATGCGGGCAATCCGGCCACTGTCTGTAGAAGTACGGTCTGGAAGCCACGGCGGCGATAAAGAGGGCTGGGGTGGCACCGTGCCAAAGCCCAAGCAACAAGCTGTTCTGACAGATGAGAGAATCAACATATGACGAAGTACAACGACACGACAAGATCCATGAAAAACCAGGCTCACAGTCTCACAGTCGTGCTTGGGAGTTAAGAGGCGGCCTCACTTGCTTTACAGCAGACTAGGTGGGAGGAGTGCTGCTGACCGCCTCATCCCTGCAGGACAAACCTTCAATTTTTAGTTTCCAGCTCGTTTTCCGAGTGTAACTAATGCATGAACCTCGCTCTATTTCTGCTTGCAACCGCTGTCGGCGCACCTCCTCAGCCACAAGCATGAGGTAGTTCACGACGTGCTCTGGCAGTCCCTCGAACTTCTTGCGCAAGACAGGGTCTTGCGTTGCAATACCAACTGGGCAAGTGTTGAGATGGCATTTTCGCATCATGATGCAACCCATCGCAATGAGGGGTGCCGTGGCAAAGCCGAAGCGCTCCGCTCCTAAGAGGGCAGCGATGACCACATCCCGGCCAGTCCGGAGCTGTCCATCTGTCTCCAGAGTGACGCGACCGCGCAAACCATTCAGCACCAAGGTCTGGTGAGTCTCAGCTAAGCCAATCTCCCACGGAGCGCCAGCGTGCTTAATGCCGGTCCACTTCGATGCCCCGGTACCACCGTCGCAACCAGAGATCAAGATATGGTCGGCCTGACATGTTTCTGAATGCCTCGAGCCTTGGAGCCTCTCTCATGACGACTGCATGCTAGGACTATGACTAGGACTTCGAATTCGCCTTGCACTTTGCCACGCCGGTCGCCACCACACCGACTCCAATCTCGCTGACCAGCTTCACGCTGACACCAGCATCTGGATTGGAGTTCTTGAGATCAAAGATCAGCTGGGCAAGATCTTCGATCGAGTAGATGTCGTGATGAGGTGGGGGAGAGATGAGGCCAACACCAGGTGTGGAGTTTCGTGTCTTGGCGATGCCTCCGTGCACTTTCTTTCCTGGCAGCTCTCCCCCTTCGCCTGGTTTTGCACCTTGCGCCATTTTGATTTGTAGCTCCTGCGCGTTGGCCAGGTACTCCATTGTGACACCGAAGCGGCCTGATGCCACCTGCTTGATGGCAGACTTCAATGAATCTCCATTCGGCAGCGGCTCGTACCTCCATCGCATCCCCGGCTGACTAAGTTTGACCTGTGATTCTCCGACCAGTCAGACCCTTTCAGACGAATGGACCTGACACGAACGACCGAGCTCTGTCAGAACGTCGGGCAAATGGCCTAGCCGGATCTTCACCACCCTCGCCGGTGTTTGAGAATCCACCAAGGCGATTCATGGCGATCGCGAGTGTGCTGTGGGCCTTTCAAGTGAAAGCAACTCATGAAGCCTTCATTCATTCATTCACTGCGAGAGAAGCTTTCGAACCTCCATGGAAATCGATCCGTAGGACATGGCACCTGCTTGTCTGCTGCGCTACGCTCTCAACATGTCGAAGATACAAGTCCGACCTGTGCGGAAGCGCTTCACGATCTCGCTGGCTGGCTCCACTGCCTCCAAAGGAAGCGGTGCTCGGCCGTACTGCCTCAGCACTCTCACCACACCCGACTCGAGAATGTGAAGCGCAAGACTCCGATAACGTCCCTCCACCGCGGCTGTCCGTACACCACTCCGCCATAGCGGGACTGTTTGCTCGACGAAACTTGACGTGAGCAGAATGCTCTGCCATAAGGCAAATGACCATTACACATGACTTCCAGACTGTGCCAAACCCTGCCTGGGTGGCTTGAAATCCAACTGCCCGCGAATCGACGAAGCCTTGACCTGCAACCAGAGCGAAACTACGACTTACTAAGAGCAGCTTTTATGTGTCCATACCGACAAATGCAAAAAACCAAGCGGAGCACCAGATTGTTGTGAAGAGTCGCGAAGGATGCGTAAGCCGCACGAGAATTCGTTCTGGCAGCCTGACAGCCACAACGGTGTCCCCTGGGCGAGTCGAACTCGATCATCAACCGCAAAATCAGCAACTATCCTCCTGAAGCTTGGCGATCACCATGGGATCGTTCAGATGCTTCTCTGCATCCGCTCCTGGTATATACCGGATACACCCTGCGCAAGCCGTCATGCAGGAGCACACATGTCGACTCCTTGTCGGTAGTGGTACTTGCCTTCATTCGGCAAGCTCGAGAACAAGCTCTTCACCTGCACAGACACAACAAACTGTGAGTGCGAGCACACACATATTCCGTAGATACAGGTACAGGCATAGATATAGGATACATGTAGATACAGGTACAGATGCAGATATATATATATATATATATGCATATAACCACTGGTGGAGTCTTTTTTCTTGGGTGCGGCTTGGCTCGGGGTGGCTTTGCTCTGAGTTTAAGCGCGGCGCCCGAGCCAAGCCAAGCCAAGCCGGGCCAAGCCAAGCCGAGCCAAGCTGAGCCAAGCCAAGCCAAACCAAAGGCGAGCCGCACCGAAGGAAAAATAACTCCGGGCCTGTAAATAAACAATTTGACTTGACTTGCCTGCCCTTCCTGTGACTTCGATTCGTGGTGCGTACGTTCGCTGCCCAGAAAAGCCTTGCCTCATAGCGTTTGTTATGTTGTTGGAGAACGCAAGATGTGCCCTAAAAGAGTGATCTTCCGTCTGCGCCACAATTCGGAGAGTCTTACATGTTTGTATGTATAAAAATCCTGATTCCTTGAAGGTTTGTCCACTCTCGATCCACGTGCATAGGCCGTTTGTGTTTGAAGCGGCACGCGCGAAACATCAAGAACTTTCAAGGATGACTGACACTGGTTGATGGTCAAGTTATGTCAAGTTGACACATCTCTCCAAGCATAACATAGTTTAACCAATCCCTGCGACTCGTGTATCACACATAGACGATTGTCGATAGTGCGACTGTGCTTTCCAGAAAACAAACGCGTCGTCAGTGTACACCTGTTGAGCATAGTGAAGTTTCGGCGCTCAATTTTGATGTCCCGAAATATGGCAGGCAACAGCACACGGAACAAATAAGGAAAGTGGACAACCTTATCGTATCCCGGGTCGTTAAGCTTTGTACCGTGATTGGCTCTCACTTTTAATCTGTCTCCCATGTCACGTTGCTGCTCGTTCGTAAGGTCCCAAGGTATTCTGTGGCACATGGAAACCCTGCAGACCTTCGATGAGCTTGTTGGTCCACAATGTCAACAACTGTCTGCCAATCTCTCGGCCATGTCGACTGGTCGTCTAGCTATGAACATGGCTTGAGTTGTCGGTTTCTTTGTGGGAAAGCCAAACTGTCCTTTCAAAACTCCTGGGTCGATCACATTTGCTACGCGTAGCTTATTTAGTGCAGCGAGACCTTTCGAGAAAGTCTGCATGGCTGCGGCCATTGGTCGATAGTTTTTAGGTTTGGCCGGGTCACTGTGTGGTATGTTGGTGCTATGTTTGCATAGTTGAGCGAACGAATGTCTTTCTCACCAGTTGAAACCGTTTTGTATTGAGCCACTTTCAAAGCTATGCAGTCGATGTGTTTGGTCTGGCGCTTTGCTTCGCTTACGCTTCCTTATGGCCTCGTCAAGTTCGTCTAACTCCCAAGCCGATTCTTGATGTTCTCACCTGTGTGCGAAAGCAGGGAACACAATTTACCTCTAATTCTGCGAGGTATTCTGCCGCCGTGGTTGGGAAATGACATTTTCTGGGATGTGGTTGCCTGCACTGTCTTTGGATTCGCAATGTTTGGGCGCACACACTGACATTTTCCGAAGACAGTTTATGCCTGTCCACTTGCATGTTTGTTTATCTACAAACCCCAGCTGCTTTGGCATGTACTGGCTTTACGGCTTTCTGAAGTTCGCCAGCACTGTCGTGAGTGCTTTGGCTGCGGCAGCATGCCTTGGCATGCGCAAGCTTGTTGGTGTTCGTATGCCCTGCAAACAAGAAGGTTGTAATTTTGCATTTGTTCATCACTCGGTGAGCGATGTAGCTGCAGCTTTTCCTCCTTTTGTGGTGAAGCTTGCTACTGAATAGAATCGCAGTTGGATGTGCTTGAATTTCGCAATGTCGTTTAAACGTTTGTAATAGAATTTTTTCCGGCTGCTTCATGTACGATATAATCGTATTCTGTTTGAGTATATTGCTCTGTTGTAAAAAGGGGGTGGAACATTAGGTGTCATAGCATCCCCATCTGCTATTCATTTGGAATTCTTGCACTTTCCATTCATGATTGAATCCAGGCGGTGCTTCCTGACACAGCTCACCAACCTTCTGTCAGTTTTCCTGCTGTTTCTAGGGCTACGGTACGAATATTTTCTTGAAAATGTTCGCGTGAAAGCATCACGCTCATGAGGAAGCTATTCCATGAGTCTCACGTAATAGTCACCCAGGTTGATATTTGGTTCGTGGCTCGGGATACTGTCGAAAGCATTACTGAGTTGATTATAAGTGGATCGTCGTTTCCAATATTCCCTTTGTCCTGTATGAGGCGAGGATGAACTATTGCACTCATACACAAGGGCTGAGGTATCAACACTGACCAGCATAATTCGGCCGTTAACTTGTCGCCTGTCACAGTTGTAGGATTTACTATGCGCTACACATGTCAAAAATATAAATGAACACAGAGAGAGAGAAGGAGAGAGAAAGAGAGGCAAAAGCATACGGATGCACCTGTCATGATAGACACATGTGCCATACATATGGCAACCTCCCTGAAACCCCATGCCTCAAATTTGCAGAGGCGCAGGTTCGCATCGCAGATTCGCAACTTCACACATTCGCAAATTCGCAAGTCTCAGACATGCGCAGATTGCTGTGATTAATCCGCAAACCTGAGAATCTGCAAATCTGTGCGAACCTGTGCAACATCATGACATCTAGATTTCGTTTCCTTCTCAAGCACAGAGGCTGATAAATTTGCGCACCTGGAAATCTGCTCATACCTATGCAAGAAACACTGATATTGTGGTTTCACTGAACACCTTTTGCCCTCTTCTCGATATGTAACTGGATGTTTTGTCTACTTCATTCATTCGGTTATCAGTTTACATAATTGAAATACTCAGTAGACATCACGTTTTGAAATGTCTTGTTTATTTTCGTCTTCATACGTCACATAGCAAACTAAGTGCGTTTTGGCCACTCATCAATCCAACTCATGCCGGAACGCACTACTAATGCCAAAATGGAATCTTGAATCTGCATACCGTGCCTATCTGAATGCATGTCTCTTCAGTCTTCAATTTATGCCAGGAAAATGTCTTCGTCATGTACACAGCACACGATCCGAATTGGTTTCACCGTGTTCTTTAAGTTTCTTTGTAATCATGATGAGATGCTCGCCATGTACAGACAGCCCAGTCAAATAGTTTGAGCAAGTACTGAGTCTACTTATTGCAAGCCTGGTAGTTGCTTCTTTCACTTTTTGATATTCTGACAGCCATATTCTAATGGTAGAGAGTCGGGTTGGTGAATCAGGTGAATAAGTACACTTGGCCCGTAATTGAGATAACCCATGTAGAACTTACACCATGACCAGATCATGATGCTGTCATTAACTAGTTCTAACTGCTTACACAGCGTATGTCATAGTGCTATGTACATCGCCAAAATTTTGATTCACGGAATCACTTAATCTACTTGCTGGGAATCTTCGTTAGCAATGCATTCCGGCTTTCGCATATCTTTCGCATTGTAATGGTCGAACGTTAATTGACCAGTTTATTTCACCATATGTGGCCCTTGTTGGGCCTATTCTATTTAGGACTCCACTGCTTACCAGGAGGACGGACTGGTGGTATCAGCGGCCAGCAAGCACCGTTAGCAACATCTCTACTGGAGCGACCAGTAGCAATCTTACCAGCACTCCAGCTAAGAGTCATGCTAAGAGCATTGGCCACCACAGTATCTAAATACCAACAGGCGCAATAATGTAGGTGCAAGAACCTAGCAAGCAGCAATGCTGCCGGCCACAGAACATGTGGAACTGCAAGGTTTGTGCCAGAATCCCGCCTAATTTTATGAACGATGGACTCAATACAAATCTGGAGTACTCAGGGATTACTTACTGCCAGTGGAAAGGACTATGTCGATGTAGGGAATTCAACTGGTCCATCATGGCTCTAGAAGACAGCACCCCTCCATAATTTCTTACACATGCTATGCCATTTGCATCTTATTGTTTAATGAACCAACTAATGAACAATTGGGTTCATTCAACATTCCAGCATCAATCCGGCTCATACCCGAGCATTCGGCGTCACTCTCCTTTTTGACTCCTCGGCACGCGTGGTCACCCAAGTGAAGTACAACTCGAGACACCCTCGAGATATGCATTGGGAGTATGCCTATGGGCCGCACCTGTACCGGCAACACCGGCGTCTACAGGCGCCCAACACGCAACTGGTCACACCAGCTTGCTTCACTCTGACACCCCAGAGAGAAGCATCCTCGCGTGATGGGATCCACCCAAAGGCGTCGCATCTCGCGCAGCCCTTGCGTAGCAGGGTACCTCCACCGGAGGCCGTGCCACGGTACAAGGGAGGGTGGGCGGGTCAAACCTTCGGTCCTGCCAGTTTGGCTCTGGACGGGACGGTTTGATCCAAATGGCAGCCGGACGATCCTTCGGAATGAAGAGCATGTACGCAAGCCTACCAAACTCAACATGCCGTTAACCTGCGCTGCATTGCATGACATCGTGCAAGGACAACACAACTGTTTGAATGAAACCTTCATCAAAATGAAACCCTCACAACAAATTTCGGGAAGCATGTAGCCCGAAATGCAGCCGCTGATCGGTCTAAGAAGCGGAAGACTACAGTCCAATCACTGCATATTACGGCTGATCAACAGAACCCTGGGGTCGCCTGAGGGTAGAGGGTTGGGGACCTGGAAGCTACACGTAAGGCTTAGGGCTTAGCGCCCAGTGCCTGGGTGCAAAGTTTCTGTCTGTTCACCTGTCTCTAGACGGGTTGACAAGGTGAGCTCCTACCCCGCTACAAACAGAAATATGATGTCAAATAAGTATTCATGCACTCCGAACGTTAGTGGGGCGGGGGCAGCATTCATCGCACCGCTCCTGAAACCCCACGCCTCAGAATTACAGAAGCGCATCATCGCAGATTCGCATATACATGTACGTGTATATATATATATATACACATACATATGTATCTATGCATCTGCACACCCATACGCACATGCGAACCTACCCACCAATGTGAAGAAACGACAAACGCACTGCCGCACTGGGAACAGTTGAAGTATGGGCGAGTCACAGTGTAGCCGCCGTCCGGTGAGAAGCCACGATCATGAACAGAAAGTGTTCGCAGAGCAATCTGCTCGAAGCCCAGGCCGCCCAGCTGACTTGCAATGCCAGTGAAGCACATTTCGGCCACTTCCTCGCCGAGAGAAAGCACATGTCCGGGAACCATCGCATGCAACACAACTCACTCGAACAACAAAGAGTTGAGGATTGGCCGGCCAGAAAAGTGAAGTTAGACTTCAGGTTTCAAGCAACTAGAGAGATAACGAAAAGCTGGAAGACCCTGTATATAACATGGGTGGGACCTGTCCGGCTGGAGTAAATCGTGTAATGCATGCAAGATCTGCTTTGCTGGAGCTGGGGATCACTCGCGCTCAGTCGCTTACCAATTCGATTTGTTTCACTCCTCTCGCGCAAATCGCATGTCCATTCCCGGGGTTCATCTCATTCACGCCATGAGTTCGAAGGTTCATTCAGCTTTGTTCATCTTCTTTCGTGCTACCGGCTTCCCTGGGCTTACTGATTGCATTCAATACTGCTTTCCCGTCCCTCCACTTTATTTGATTCGATTCTGTCAATGCACTAAGATGGCTTGCAGACAACAGCCGTTCATGTCACCGGCGTGGCGGCTGCCAGGTCGACTCATGCAAGAAGCCTCGCACGGATTTCAAACCGTTAAGTCCTCGATGCGATGGCTTGACTGTGTCATGTGTCGTAAGCTTGCTCGACAGCTCGCCGGTATCCTAGGAAGTGGCTGCATGAAGCCGCATATGGTATATGGCAACGCGGAAGTCTAGGATGCTCCCGCAACCTGTAAGCGAAGCATGAGTTCGCACTCAAAAGTCTGACCACATTTTCATGGGTTTGCACTTGTCGATATCCCGTCTCTGCTTACCGGGCAGTCGATCTTTATGAAAACGTGTCCTCAATGTGAATTCACCAATGGAACACGCCGAAGCAAATGGCACTCCTGGATATCTGACAATTTGGCGGGCACTTGGTAGTAGCATCCAGTTTTATCCCTAATGCCTCCCTGTCTTGCTCATTCGTGTAGGCTTTCACTCATTCACTCCCTCGCTTGCTTGCTGGCTCGCTTAGGTGTGTTCGTGCATGAACTCATCCGTTCGTGGCATCATGAATTTTGTTGTCTGAATCAGTCGTTGATGCGTGCAGTTACGCATTAAAAATTCATGTGGCCTTTTAGGCTTCATCCATCCAGACATCCATCCATTGGTCCATCCATCCTTCCATTCATCTATCCATGCATCGACCGGCGCAGGCATGCAAGAATTGCATATGTTTGTCGATCCATTTTCCATTCAGTCGTGAACTCGTGCAGGTGTTCCTGGATTCCTTCATCCGTTCCTGCCTGAAGTCATGAATGTTTTGTTCCTCTAGTTCATCCATTGGTCCGTCCGTCCGTCAGTCACGTGAGATTCTGGGTCAAGTCATATCATATACATTACATCTCGGACACCGTCTCTCGCCTGCAAAAGGCCTGGCTAGCATTCTAGAGCACCAAACACCCAGCAATCGCGACCGCCGCCAGATTCTGTTGCGAGATCATGTATGCAAACAGCACGCCCGCACTGAAGTCAATGGGAGAAGCTCTCCAACCAAGGACCTTTCCACAAGCTGCGACAAGTTCGGCCAGCGGCAATGCAGGCCTGTGCTGTGTGTTGTGTGTTGTGTGGTGTATGTTGTGTGTTGTGTGTTGTATGTTATGTGTTGTGTGTTGTGAGTTGTTGTGTGTTGTTAAGTGTTGTTGTGTGTTGTTGTGTGTTGTTGTGTGTTGTTGTGTGTTGTTGTGTGACGATGTGTGATGTTGTGTGTTGTTGTGTGATGTCGTGCGATGTTGTGTGATGTTGTGTGATGTTGTGTGATGTCGTGTGATGTTGTGTGATGTTGTGTGATGTTGTGTGATATCGTGCGATGTTGTGCGATGTTGTGTGATGTTGTGTGATGATGTGTGATGTTGTGTGATGTCGTGTGATGTTGTGTGATGTCGTGCGATGTTGTGCGATGTTGTGCGATGTTGTGTGATGTTGTGTGATGTTGTGTGATGTTGTGTAATGTTGTCTGATGGTGTTGTCTGATGGTGTGTGATGTTGTATGATGTTGTGTGATGTGTTTTGTGTTGTGTGTTGTGTGTTGTGTGATGGTGTGTGATGTTGTGTGATGTGTTGTGTGTTGTGTGTTGTGTGTTGTGTGCTGTGTGCTGTGTGGTGTGTGCTGTGTGCTGTGTGCTGTGTGCTGTGTGCTGTGTGCTGTGTGCTGTGTGCTGTGTGTTGTGTGTTGGTGTTGTGTGTTGTGTGTTGTGCGTTTTGTGTTGTGTGTTGTGTGTTGGTGTTGTGTGTTGTGCGTTTTGTGTTGTGTGTTGTGTGCGTGTTGTGTCTGTGCGTTTATGTGCTTGTCAATCACTTTCAAAACACCGTTTTTTCCTTGCTCAGACCGATGGCATCGGCGATCTGAGCGCCCTTGTAGCTGCGCAGTGTGGAGATGCCCATCTTGGCCATGATTTTCCTGGAGACTCACACGTGCAATGGTGCTTGCAATGCTCACGAACGTTCGAGAAGAATGCTGGCAAGATTCAGAAGGCCCTTTCCAACAGCTTTCTGATATTTCGCGAACTTCTCTTCTTTTGACCAGCTGTCTCCGAACCTTAGACGTCTTGTCGCGGGGTTGCCAGGGTTCTGCCCAGCCCAGCCCAGCCTGATCAAAACAGAGGCGTGCTACAGTCTGCCTTAACATCAGTGCAGGGGCTTGCCCTCGTCTCCCAGAAGCTGCAAGGCTTCGTAGGCCATGTAAGGGAAGATAGCGTCACAGCCAAAGGTCAGCAATAGTGCCTCACAGACGCTAGGCTGCCGGAATCAAAGCTGCGTACATGGCCAGGCACCCAAACACACAGCAGACTCCATATAGAAGAAGGCACGGTCTGCACCCCTCTTACGAACGTAGACATGGAAACAAATGAACAAATTCAGGCACCGCGTATGTGCTTGCGTATGTGTCTGTACGCATATGCATACATGTATGCAGCTCCGTACTCATCATCCAGTGTACACATATGGGACATGTCTACATATGCACATGTGCATGTGTGTGTTTTATAGATGCAGATGTATACAAAAAGGGTCTGAAGAGGTTGGCAAGTATAGACACACATGAGCACACGTGTTAACATATCATGTTCCTGTGACCACAAAGAAATAAACTGCGTGTGTGTGTGTGTGTGTGTGCGTGAAACTGATGTAAACTGACACAATCAAGCATGGTATACGAACACCAGTTAAAACTGGTGAAGTGTATAGACACACATGTAATGCACATGGGTCACATGTACAGCGGGGGTGTACGTGTGTGTGTGTATACAGTACGCATTCACACACTACCCACAAAAAAAGCACATTCGCCGCTTTCGCAGAATGGAGAAAAACCCTGCGCAAACATCGCAAAGCGCTGCGTCTGGGCTGCATGATGTGCCACTTCGAACGGCTCTCCACTCTCAAGCACCAGAGCGACCTTGCAACAGTTCTGATGCTGGAGCAACTGTAAAGCTGCTCGCATGCTCACATCCTGCCTTGGTGCGGAGCTTCTCGGACACAAGTGCTTGATGCACCGCACCGCTAACCAGGAGCGACGGCATTGGGGCATGCTTTTCAGATGCAGACCTGCCGGAGCTGCCGAGCCGGCCAAATGAATGTGCAGCTTGGATCAACAAGTTGTAGCTCTTGCAAGAAGAGCAGACAGCTTGACAGCAGAACAGCACCTAAAACAACCTCTGCCTGACCAGTTTACAAGCATAAGTGCTGCAGGCAGGCAAAGCAGGCAGCCTAAGGAGCTCGAACTCCTGAAGCAAGTTGTGGCTCCACCAAATAAGCAAAACTCAGACTGCCCTCCTCAAACCAGACTTTCAGACTGGATTTTCAGGCACAGTCGGACGGTCGAATAAGGCTGAAAGTAAGCTGCGACGGGCTACAGGTGTGAAAGGTCATGATTGGCCATTGAAGAAAAATGCGAATGAAGACTGCAAAGATGACGCACAAAGACTGGGAAGTATGAGAAACCGACAACATAGGATGAGTCCGTGTGTATTCGCATCGAGAACCAACCATCAAGCTTATTCTGGATTTTGCGTGTTCCTCAGGGACGCATCTTATCTTTGAAATTTCCACACTCTCGCATGTTGAACGTTGAACTTCCCACGGTCCAAAAGCGCGGCAAGCTGTTCCGACTTTGCCGCAATTCACATGTCTTACCCACATGGTGTCGATAGAAAGCAACCAAACTCCAGTCTTGAGGAACTTCAAAATACGATCTTGGATTACACAAAGCTGCACTCTGCTGGCAGGACATCTGCAATCGACTACACAGATGGCCTGTCCGAGAGGACGATGATTTGAAATCCATTCCTGACGCCCGATGGACGTGCCAGGCCACGAACATGGCTCAGCACGACGCAAAAAAATCGTTGCTGCTGAAGCTCTTGGCAGCTGCTGTCGCTTCCTTGCACACCCTTGCCAGGTGGTGCTCCATGCCAGTTGCACCTCAACCCAGTCTCATGAAATGCGAACTGACGCTTTGTGTTTCTCCAGCATCCCGTTTGCAGCCTCTGCTTGATGCATTCCTACGTGCAAGTCCCTGTGTTACGAACCTTTGCTTGTCTCTATCGTCGACGCACAGCTGGATGGCAAAACATTGCCAAGCACTGTTAAGGGCCGAAGATACATGAACTGAAATCCATTATCAGCTGTTCGAGGCTCACTGGATCAGGGTGCCTGATTTTACGGAGACCGCTGGTTAGCCGCGTCACTCTTTACCTATGAGGAGCCCATCATAGCCCATCCATTCCGTGCACCATTGAGAGCGCCTTCGGTGACAGGGAAGGTGGTGTCGCAGGACTTGATCTTCCAACCCTTGAGGTCGGTCGTGCGGGACAAGGCAGCCATTTCAGCCTTAGCTCCACACCAACACTATCTGAGCCTCTGCGGAAAAGGCCAAACAAGGTGGCCAAGTAGCAAACGAGCTAGTGTACCAACGAGCAAGCATGAGCGTTATGCTGTGCCTCCCCAGATCTCCCATGAAGATGCCACTCTGGCATGAGGGACGGATGAAACTGATAACAGCCATGCTTAGTTCACCAGGCCAAGTTCACCAGGCCCGAAAAGAGCATGAGCTTTAGCCAACAGGCATTGCAGTCTAGTGTCTCAAAATGGCAGGCAAGACAAGTACTGGGCTGTCTATGTGGAGGATTGGCTTTGTCAACCGCACCAACACCCCCCCTCATGCAATATTTCTGCAGAGTTCGAGTGCACATGCTGCGAACCAGGTGGCCGGAAGCAAGCATGGCTTGTCCAACCACAACCGCTGGCAGTGCTGAGGGCTGGGTGAGCCCAGCACATTGGTCTCGGGACCGACCCAGCATCCTGCATCAGTACGGTTCTCCGCTTAGATCTACCGACCTGAAACCGTGCCGTGCCTAGCGACATCACGACTGACTCGCGAATGGGATCGATAGGCGGGTTGGTCACCTGTAACGCCACGGCACATGGCACCAAACCAATGTTGCAAGTTCTGACGCACATGCGTCAATCATGCGAAATGTTCATATGAAGTTACGAAGTCACAGAGAACCTGCGCGAAAAGCTGGTAGAAGAAGTCGAAGACTGGACGATTCTGCTCAGATAGGCAGGCCAATGGCGTGTCATTGCCCATACTCCCCAGGGCTTCTTCACCATCCTGCCAGAATAAAAAAGCACTCCTAGAAACTTCCGGCAACTTCTGGCATGTCGATGCAGGCCATTCATCGGCTACACGCTCTGTGCAACGAGAGACTCAAGACAATCGAATCAAAAAAAATGAGTCCTTTCCCATGGGAAGAAGCAGCAACTCCAAGGACTCCTGCCAGGTGAGCCCCTTAAACCATCACACTCCGCACTCACATACCTTGCTTCTTCGCCTGCGTGTAGCCGAAAGCACGGAGAAGTGGCGCGCGCAGATCTTGAGGAACTGATGGAACCGTCGAAGAGCCTGCATTCAGCCTCGGAAATGCTCGGATGGGCTGGTAGCCGTGGCATGCTTCTTCCTCCAGATCTTATCGCCAGGAGGCAAGGTCTCCATGGTCATTGCTTCGGTCTTCAACCAGTCCCCCCATGGCAAGACAGAAGCAAATTGGGCCTTCAGCTCACCGTCCTGGCTTGGCAGGCCGCTCAAGCTCCAGGTTGCAATGAAAAACATCCCGTATGACAGTGCCCACTGCTACTCTGTTACTACATACTGTGCAGCTCACCACTGCCATGCACGTGCAGGTGTCCCAAAAACACACAGCTACGTGAGTGGTGCAATTAATGCCTGAGTCAAGGTATGCTTGCTGAAGTCTGCCCAGAGCATCTTGCCTGGCAAAAACACGCTGAAAAGTAGCGAAATGCGAAAGCAAACTGGAGAACCCCCCCTTCGACTCAAGAGCCCCGGCCTGGTGACAAGCGCCCCTTTGCGACGATGCTGTCCGCAGGCTGTTTCAGCACACCACACTCGGAAGAGACAATCAGCTTGTTGTCTTTTGTCACCTTGATCCAAGGAAGCAGCATGACAGCTGACATCGGACCGACATTGGCAACAACACGACAGAAAGAAGTGGGCAGCAAGGGCGAGCTGCGTAGTAGCGGCACGGCCGCAGACCATTTCTGTCTAGCGAGGCTCCTGAAGGGTCGGAATCTGACAGTCTACTTCGATTCTGCCTTGGCCTAAGTCTGCCTGGGTCAAGTGACACTGCAAATCGACTTAAGCCAAACCGGTCCGACACCATCACCATCCGTGAAGCAGACGAGTGCTGGCCCATCCCAGGGTTCCAATAGAGCTGCTTGGTACTTATAGTAATCTCGAAGCTTCGAGTCCATGGAGTCCAAATTTTCCTCGGCTTTGAGCACAACCATGTGCGTGGGAGTGAGAGCTTTGCAGAAGCAGCCAGGCCACCCACGCAGGTGGCATCATCATAGCCACAGCCTCTGGCAGTGTTCGTCCTGACTGAAGGAACGGAAGAAACATCTTCACACGAACTGCACCGCAAGCACAACTGAGGGCAATCAAGATCACTGCTCTGGCAGAGCATCAACAAGAATGAGAATACAAAAGACTGGCCGACCTGAAATTGTCAGCACTTCCAAGAAGTTGTCGAAAATTCCACTGTCCGTCTGATCCTTGATATCCATGCTCGTGGTAAGGTGTAGCAATGCCACCATTTACTGGAATTCTGCATCCGAATCTGCATCTGAGGATGCGACCAGCTCCATCAAAGGAAAGCATTGTTCCAGCTGAGGCCCCAGAAGCTCGGATTTCATCAATCCTTCACGTGCTCGAGCAAAGTTCACATTTCCTGCAAGCACAGCTGGGCGTAAGCACTGCTTGAGCACAGACAGCCTTTTCAAGTCAAGATGTGGACAGTCCTCAACAGTAGAACTTCCTATATACTGCATGCCGAATTTCGTCAGGCTATACTTGACAAACCCCACCTAACCAATCTGCACTCCTGGCAAATCTCACCTCAAAACACCCATTGCAATCGACGACTTGCCTTTGAGCGTGTTGATTTCACCATTGTGGCAAATGTGGCGGAATGGATGCGCGCGTCTCCACGCAGGAAAAGTGTTGGTGGAGAAGCGGCTATGAACCAGCCTTGGTGGTGATAACTTACGATAGAAACAGATGTCGCAGGTCGGAAAAAGACACGGGAGACGACAAATCAGAAACCTCTGTTGGTAGACTCCTTTACAATTCAATCTGCTGCAAAGTCGAGGGTCGCGACGTGAGACTCGAAGTCATCCTCTTGCAGGTCAAGGAAATATCTGACGAGACCTGCGCATAAGCATCTCCAACAACAATCCGGAACTACAGCTAGCAGCCGCTTCCCCAACTGCCTGGACATGTGAGCATGCCCTTGTAGTTGATGATTCTCGGAGACAGCGAGCAGACCTGTCTCACACCGCTCAACAGCATGGCCTTGTGGGGAGGGGCAGATGGCTGGTATGCGTTTGGAGAAGACTGTAGCGGAGTGCTTTCGCGCTTTCGTTTATTTCGGCCCAGATGCGTAGAAGGGAAGGCCAGGCTGTTGAGCAGCCAGGTTGGCGGCGCGCTTCCGGAGAACGAAAAGAGCTGCTTCGAATTTCTTAACGTCCTTCTTCAAAGCGCCTGAAACGAAGCGAAATGAAGCGAAGACCTTCTCCGATAATCCGAACTGAAACGCTCGCGAGCTGCCTTCGGCAGCAATGAACGCTTGTTCGATGGTCGGCTCGTGATCCCTGGCCTGCATCAGGAACTAGAGTCAGTGCTGCCTTAAGCTCGGATTTTCGTTTTCTCCATGCTTGTCCATGAAGGGCGAGCCCCAGCATTCAAGCAGCACATCATGACAAGGGGGCAACGGCTGTAAGTCGTCTCCCCAAGACAGCACACTCAATCAAGCCGAAGTCGATGATTGATGACTTCCGCGACTTCCGTATCATCGTGCAGCACAACGGGAGAACGACTGAGCTGCAAGCAAGTGTCAGTCTTGCCCAGGCACTCCGATTCAACCGGCACGCGGCGCCAAGTGATCATGCGGAGACCATCAATGGAAGCCAATACCCTTGGTGTCGGCTGCAATATGCGCTCGCTCGAAGACGAGGTGGAGAGCAAGGTAGGGAAACGGCAAAAGATCAACAGAGAAAGAAAGAAAGGACGAGCAACACACACACACACATTGTGCTTCGGCAAGACAGTCAAACGTGCACACTCGACTGCTCCAACACAACATAAATGCGACATCTAGCACTGCTCCGGCGGGCTAACCGCACCAAGCAGCTGCTCGAAGATCCTTTTGCCTTCCGTAGTTCCATCTTCGCCTGAGTTACATGTACGCACTTTGCAGCTCTGCTCCGGCTCTTCCGGGCCTCATGAAGAAATCGTGTTCTTCCCTTTTCTACTCAGGCCGCAGCAACGGTCAAGAAAGACGTTGCCGACCGCATACCTTGCTGCGTGCCGTCTAACTCGAGTGGCATGGAATCCAAGCTGGAAAGTGCGCCACTGTGCTGGAGCGAATTAGTGCGAAAATTGCTTTGGCAGCGGAAGGTGTTCCGCACTCGGTTGCAACCAGGCTGCTCACGAGGAGGCGGCAGCTCCACTGACAATTCCGCCGCAACACGCCGCATAAATCGATCGGGAATGCCACACAAAATGCCAGCACCGTCGCCAGTGTCCTGGGAAGGAAATCAACATAGAGCTTGCTGAAAGCCTAACGAAATTGACATGAACACCAGGAAGACACACCGGTGTCCTTCTCACAGCCACGAGCACCTCTGTGATCCAAATTCTCCAGCACCTGTTCTCTGCAAAGGCTTGAACATATTGCACAGTCTTGGCAATGCATCATGTAAAAACATTCGCTTATTGTATTGTCGAAGTGCCTGCAGAGCTCCGTCGACAATTGTCCGAGACGGCGCGCCTGTCAACAGTCGAGATCCTCTGAACTCGACATCACTAGGTGTCGATGTCAACAGTTCCCAAAACTATTCATAATCAGGGCTCTATTTCAGACAACAAAGGAAACTAAAAATTATCCCAAATCGATACCTAGCACATGACGGCTCATGAATCGTCGGCCCAATCTGGATGGCCCACCTGTGATGTCTGCTACCATTCCGACTCCACAGCTGTCCTGTTTCAGGATAACATTCGACATCAGCACCCAACTTAATGCATTTTTGCACTCATGGTCGGTCCTTCTCATTGCGGGGATCGTACAACCCCTGAGCGGGGGGTGTGGCATCAAAGCCACGATACTTCGACCTTGAAATCGCATCTCAAGACAGTATGCTTTGGGCTTGATACACAAACCATGTTCAAGCGAGGCCAATTATTGTCAAGCAGCGGTTCCACTGCCGCCATCGCGCAGGGCAGCAATAGGAATCAAACACAAAACTGGGTCTCAAACGGCATGAACGGCATTTCAAGCATTGCCTCTGACCCACCAAACATATGTAATACGACTCGTCATGCCGCTATTCCACACTAAAGCAGGAAAATTTGCTCGGAAGAATCCTGACGGGCCGGGTTTCGTTGAAGAAAACCATGCACTGCACTTCTTTTCGTGTACGCTTTCTTCAACTAAATGAAAGAAGTGTGTTCACTTCGTAATATAATATGAATGGTGTCTTGTGTTTAAACTAAAAAACAATGCGCAAAATGTAAAGGATGCACGCTTTTGTTCGCCCTCCTGCTTTAAAAGCCACACGAACCACAGGTTGTCAGCTTCGTGACTTCGGGTGCTGGCGACTTTTTAGCCTTGGCGGGGAGGCTCTCAGGGTAGCTTCACTTTGCAAGTTTCGCTTCGTGGATTCTGCAAAGACTTGCACATGTGCAATGACGACTTGCGACACGCAGCTACCCGCCGAGAGTAAACTCGACGTGAAACACGCAACCATTTGCCCCGCGATACGATTAAAAACCTCAGGCCTAAATCTGAGGTGGACCGGTTTCATGCGAACAATCGCCTTTGATGGGATGCTTGTGGACTCGGTGCAGCAGCAAAACAACGCAAGTCATGTTGCCCAACTCCTTCCACTCGAAAGCAATTGGACATAGATGAATCCGTCATACGCTGCGATGCGAACATCGTCTCTATCCAGTCATGTTGCTACAGCCGTTTGGAAGACAAAGGTTCCTGGTTGTACCGACGATGATGCAACAGACCACTAAATGGAATTTAAGCACATTGCAACCGCACACACGTTTTGCTCAAATGCCGAACCGCATTGCAGTCGGCATGTAATCCAACATGCTCCTGGTCCTGGGATGCTTATTAAATTCTCATTGCGAGCTTAGGTCATGAAAAAATTATGTCGTTTATTTTCCTTTTGTGCAAAACACCGGGCATCGACATGTTAAAAAACTGATACAGGTGAAACCATAAGCCAACATCTTTCCGAATATAAACAACGTTCATCAATCAAATACACATTCATATGGTGCAAACGAAGACGCACCGCTCTTTTTCACAGACTGGGGAGCGAGTGCCCGCGTTGGCCGGGCTAGGGCCCAGGGCAACGAGTAAGTGTGAGAACGATGTGAAAACAGCATTAGTGGTGCGTTCCACGGTGTGAGCACGTTCTCATGAGACCACTGCGGAGACATCTCCGAAAAGGAAACTTGGGCGGGTGGGACGAAAAGCTCTACAAAACTTAACTTGGGGGTTCCACCCACCTCACTTCACAGCAGAAATGTTTCGGAAGAAACAAACTTCACATGAGCACAGACAACGTTCACACACATGCATGCCCTAATTTATTTCGAAGCGAAATAACTTTGAAAATAAAAAAACATCGTGTGCACGAGGTCTGTTCTTATTTTCCCTTTGTGCAAAACACCGGGCATCGACATATCAATATCAAAAATTTATGTAAGTGAAACCATAATCCAACACCTTTCCCGAAAAAAAACGTTCATCAATCAAATCTACATTCATATGGCGCAAACGAAGACGCGCTGTTCTTTTTCACAGAATGGAGAACGAGTGCCCAGTTGGCCGCCCCTGAAGACGTGGCCACACACTTAAGCGTCTCCAAGAGCACTTCTGCCGCACATTCGGCCCGAAGCTTGTCCATCACGTAGATCCTCCTGGAAGGTGCATCCTTTTTCATTCACACGCTTTTGTCGAGTCGACTAGTCAAATCGCCTGAGGCGGGCAAAAAAAAGAAGAAAACAAATGCCCACGAAATCGCTTTGGGGAGCTCAAACACGAATAAACAGAATCGAAAACATGAAAATATCAGAGACACACAACTGCAAGAAATCGTTCAGAAGCGCGTACTTCAAAAAGCGGAGACGTCGACACCGAAAAAGAATGAAATCAAAGCAAGGACAACAAATTGGAGAGACAAACACTGCAAAAGCTCAAAAAAAATGGTCCTGTAAACACAATGACAAGAATGCAAACTCAGGTTCGAATCAAAGCTTGAAATCCAAACCCACAGGTTTGAATCCTGGACACAAACATTTCAAAACCAGGCTAAGATGCAGGTTTCACCCACACCAGGTTCAAACCAGTTCCAAAAATCAAACCCAGATTCGGGGGCTGGACCCACCTTCCTTCGACGAAGACGGGCTTGAAGGGGGCTTCAAGCCCCCCTTGAAGGGTCTGAAGGGTTGGACCCTTGAAGGGGAGCTTGAAGGATGGACTGAAGGGAGGGGGCGGTTCAAGGGTCGAAGGCTTCAATGAAAAATTCAAAGAACAATTTGTGAGCTTCGCTGGAATGCCGTATGCAAGCAACAATCAAATGCACGAGCACAGATGCAATCAGCTTCAGAATGCAATCACTCGGTCGACGATCTTTTCACGAGCAATCAGATCAATCATGTGCCTTGAGCCAAAGGCCCAATGTGTACAGAGGCAGTGGTGAACTGATGCTACAATCTAACACGGTTCCTTGGACACTGCACTTGTGCTGTGTCCACCAATGCTAGAATCTCAAAAGCAATTGTAGATGTCAATGCTTAGAGCTCGTCAATGACTGTACTGTCATCCAGCAGAAATCTGCGTCGGTATGTACAATCAGACTTGCCTGTGGCAATGGCATTCTGGTGATCTGCAATTACTTTCTCAATGGCGATGGCTGTCTCGCTTGCGTGCCAATCTCTGGGTCGGTCCAATCCAGACAGTAGATCCGGACTCGACAATGATGCGCGTTCTGCCATCCGGGTGGCAATCGCGCTCCGAGTCGTCGCTCTCAATCAGCTCCTCTTGTCCAGCAGCGGACAATAGGGAAGCTTCGCCAATGACGGCGTTGCGAATCGAGAATGGGATCCGCAAATGGCGATTCAATGCAGCTGACGGTAAGCTGTCAATCCAACAGTCCATGTGGTACAGTTGGAAGAAGGATTGGCAATCAATCGGAAGTTCCCAGCACAATGAGCTGCTGATTTCTTCCGGGTGCAATGTCACAATCCCATTCGCAGCATGGTTGTCAATCGTCATATAGCTGCAACCAATATACGAGATGTTGTGCCAATTCAATTGGCCACCTTTGCCGGAGACATTCTTCATCTCACTTGTCAATTTGGTTGCTCTCATCTTCAATTGGATAAGTCCAATGTTGGTGTGTTCAATGGACCATCCAATCACATTCTGGCGGAACCTATGCATGAGCTTGCTGAACGCGTTCCATGGTGTCAATGAGAAATTCAATTGATGGCACTTGAATCGAGCAACGTCCAATCCTTGTGGGGATAGCAATCGTCGAGCCATCTCAATCGGCAGAGCAATCCACAACCACAGATCTGCCAATGCATTTGGCTGGTTGGGCGGCATAGCGCCCCTGACCAATGAGGTTCGACTCATTGCGTTGAACAATCCGTGCTCAATCAGAGTGTCCGGGCAAAACCAAAATCTCGAAAGATCAATGGTCCTCACGTTCGTCACTTCCGGTGACAGATGCCGCCATCGATCTCCAATCAGCTTCGACAATGACGGTCGCATGGAGGTAGAAGCAATCGTCGAAGTTGCAATGAAAGGTTGATTGCTAATCAAACTCGGGTCAATATTGAAGCGGAACAATCCGCGCTCAACTCGAGGGAAGAGTTGGGTTGCGATCATCAATGAGCGTTCCAGTTCAATCCAGACCAATGCAATAGCATCTTGATCAATGGCTTCGTAATCGCAACGCTGACTCATCAGAATCAACATTTCCATGTAAATCGCCAGCCACGGGCTCAATGAGACTGACGTGGAGTTGTCCTTGAATACTCCAATCGTGAGGCATTGGATCAATGTCTTGACCCAGGTAATGACCCTTGTCGAGGGCCAATTGTCAATCACCTGGCGTGCTTGGCCGAGCAATTGCTGCGCAGTATCAATCGGAGTCGTTGACACTGAGGATGCCATGGCACAATCAGTTGCGAGAAGAGTGCTGTCGTCGCAATCGCTGATCAATGACTGCAAGCAAAAGCAAAATCAAGATTCAATCACTGGCATGCAATCCAAGAAGCTCGAAATGCTGTACACCGATGCAGTTTCTGCAACGCTGTCAATATGTACACTTTTGAACAAATCGTTTCAAATTCGTGGGAATGCAGTTTTGACTGTGTTCCAACTGCCCTGCTGGCCAACACAATCGGCGGTGGCGATGCCTTTAATGAACATGGGCAATGCTGACGGAAAATCTGAAAACTTCAACCAATCAACGGGCTTGCGGAGAAATGACATGTCTGACTCTCAGTCTCTCTCTCTCTCTCTCTCTCTCTCTCTCTCTCTCTCTCTCTCTCTCTTCTTTCTCACTTCTTTCTCTCTTCTTTCTTTTGGTAAGGCGGAGACGCAATCTCGACGCACTTGTGTCAAGAATGTCGGTTCCTCAAATGAAACCTAACATGCAATGTGAAACAATTTTTGTTTGGTTTTATGGGTCTATGTGAAACTGGTCGGCAATGTTCACAATGCCTAGTTTGTGTGTGAGGTTCCTGAGGACCTCAGTCGGGGAATACTTAGTCAATATGTCGGCGGGGTTGAGCTTGGTGTTCACTTTCCGAATGCTCAACACACCTGCACGCACGAGATCTTGCATGTACAAGTATCTCAATTCGACGTGCTTGGTTTTCTTAATTTCTTACCTGCTCCGAATCTCGTTGCAATGCTTCGTCCTGCCGTCGAATCCGTGTACACAACCATGTTGACACGCTTAGCGAATTCAGCCTCGAGAATCAATGACTTCAAGAACAATGACTCGCTAGCGCCCTGTCCAATGGCATAGAGTTCAGCTTCTCCTGACGACAATGCTACAGTAGCTTGAGTTCGAGAGGTGTGAATCATGTCTGAGCCCAATACCTGTGCAGTACTGCCTGACGTGGACTTCCTAGTCCTACTGCAGCCTGCCCAATCACTGTCAACGTAACACACA